AATAAACCGTTAATTATTATTATTATTATTATTACACACACACACACACACTCTAACACACACTATATATCTTCCTTATATCTAGACAGATATAAATGTGACTATAAACAATTGTTATTGTCTAAACTCTGACATTTTGCCATTATGTTAACAGACTGACAGATAGTCCTTATGAGATCACACGTTGTGAAAAACATTCACAATAGGACACAGGAAGTAACAACAGCCAACAGTAGATACAAGAAGTTGTTATATATGTGACCTCAATGTTCATTAGTGTTCAATACATTCCCATGATTAATCCTCTGAACATACACTGGGAATATTCTTGAGTTTCTTGGTCACCTGTCTCAGTATGCTGTTCACACTTACTCTTGACACTTCCCTCAAGGTCAGTTACAGTTAAGGGAAAAATATATTGAAGATTTGTGTTGATATTTACCAGGGGGAAACTGTCAGGGAAAATATGGCTACTTCTGACAAAACTGGTAATACTCGTCTCTCTGGCACTCGTCTCTAGCACGAGTACATCATGTGTTGCCAAACTCAGGTATAATATGTACCCAGAGGTGTTAATGATATCTGTTCCACAGAAGAACAAAAATATTAACTATAAAATAACATGTTATTGGAATTCAATCTTAACGAGGAATATGACCTAGATCTATAAAAACACTTGACCTCGCGGCGTGTTAGGCTAGTAATGTCAGTTGTACGAGGGAAAAATATATATTAGAATTTTAATGTTAGATACACCGTAGGTTTTTCAGTGCGTTGAAATACTGTACATACTTTATGTCCTGCACTCTTGTACATAATTAAAAAATAATAATAATAATTTATACCAACTATGTGACATGTGATTTGGCTTTCGCACATCATTATTGAGTGATAAGTGTTTTGCCTTATCGTTTACTGCCTACAACACAGCCTCACGACCACTTGTGTGTACTCTGGAAGTTTTCTCTGAAGATTAAAGTTTCTACAAATAATTAGAGGTATAAACCGGGCTTGACGCAATGTTTTCGTATGCCGATGAGTAAGATCTGTTACTGGAGCTTGTGTACAGTGTTCATGTTGACCTACCTACCTACCGCGGTGTCTTATGAGTGGTCTCTTTTTCTATAACGTTCAATTATTTATTTTTTGTGTATCGTACACCTGTTTACACCGATTGGTTACCAAAATTGCCGCTTGAATGAACTTACACCCGTTTGGTCTGGCCAGTTCTCTATTACTTTTTGTATTAAGCAACTTATTAGTAGCCACCTGTCAGTAACGACCACCATGCAGGTCATCTACACCAGCGCTTCTCAAACTATCTGATGTGGCGGACCGGCATGGTTTTTTTTCAATGTGCCACGGACCGGCGAGCGAAGCGAGCCAATCCCGGGCCTATAGGCCCCCCCAGGAAAATCTTTTGAGATATGTCCTATTTCAGGGGCATTTTGAGACTATCTGTACTAAACATGAAGACATGATGTCTTATTCATTCTAAGGCCAATCATCATTGACGTAACAAGTCTTCCCAGTGTGCCAGGGACCAGTACCATATTTGTGCCATACAATTAATTGTTTACGATCAGAGAAAATATTATTTGAACATTCGTAGTAATATTATTTTATACAGGAAAAATATAATGAATATAAAAGTTGACACATTTTTATTTTATATTGATTTTGTAAACAACTTAACACAGTAATAACAATTAACACAATAACACAATTAACACAATAATATTCATGTCAAAACCTTAACCTTTACTAATGTGAAGAGTGAGCCTGCTTCTTCTTTGTCAGCTTATCCAATCGTGGTTCAATTGAGGACAGTGCCACGCGCAATGGAGAATGAACATCCTTACAATTCCTGTATTTTGTCTTAATGACACTCATTGTTGAGAAGCCAGTCTCGCAGAGGTAGGTTGAAGGAAAGGGGAGAAGAGTTTTCAGAGCAATTTCACTAAGCTCAGGATATTCTGCTTTCACTTTTATCCAAAAAGATGCAAGTGATGTTGAAGTTTCGAAACTCATCTTCAATCCTTCGTCAGCAGCCAGCTCCAACAACTTATCCTCCATAGTGACACTTAAGAAAAAGTCATCTCTCAGTGGCATAAACGGATTTCGGATCCATCCAGTCCCTTTCCGTGGATCTTCTTCTGCTGGAAAATAATGCTTAAAACGATTTGCCAAATTATTCAAGTGTTCTTTGATGACATTTTGCAGAGACACAACATTAAGGTCTTCGCCTGCTTCGACTATGACTGTTGCCAATTGGTGAAACATGTCATAACAATCTCTTGACACTCGACTCTTCCATGCTTCTAGCTTCCGTTTTTGCCCGTCGATCTTGTCTGCCATTGTAAAACACGATGCCATCCTTCCCTGCATGGAGGTGTTGAGATCATTAAAGATGGCAAAGATATCAGCCAAATAAGCCAGCTTGGCTAGCCAATCCACTTCTCGGAACAATTGTGACCAATTTGGTTTTTTGTCCTGAAGAAACTCGGCAAGTTCGTTTCGTAGCTCTCACACTCTTGACAGAACTTTTCCCCTCGATAACCAACGTACATCGGCATGCAATAGGAGCAGTTTATGATCAGCTCTCATATCATCACATAATGCAGTGAATAGTCTCGAATTTAAAGCATTTGCTTTTACATGATTCACAATTTTTACAACCTCGCTGAGCACACTATTTAGTTCTATTGACATTTTTTTTGTTGCAAGATTTTCTCGGTGAAGGAAGCAGTGTGTTGACTTGCATTCTGGGGCAAGCGCCTTGATCTGGGTAACCACTCCCGAATGCCGTCCTATCATTGAGGCAGCACCATCAGTACATACGCCTACACAAAACTTGAAATCCAACCCACATTTGTTAACGATGTTGTCGTTCACAGTCTTGAACACTTCAGAACTAGTTGTTTTTGTTGGTAGTGAAGCAGAGAAAAAAACTCTTCTTTAAGATCACCCTCATGTTCAAAGCGCACATACACCATCAGAACTGCCTGATTAGGATAAGGAGGTTATTATAACATAAAATTATATTACAAACAGGATAAAAATTGGAATGTTAAGACCGGTCCACAATAATTTTTTGTTTTTCAAATTTACACAGGAATAGTGTGAACCGGCCTTTAAGATTATTAGTACTTACATTTTCAGATCAGTGGGTTGGGATGGGGTCCCAAATGACAAACACGCAGATACCCGTATGATGCTCTCTGTTCCACTTCTTGATGGTAACTAACCACTGACCTGTGACCTGACATCACAGACTGCTGATCCACACGTGTGGAATAGCAGGGTTGCCAGCTGTGTGACACCCTTCACGGCTGGCACGCATAGTAAAAAATCGGCCATTTCTTTTAATGGGATGCATACATTTATTTTATCCGAAATTAAATAACTACCATACTTAAAATAAAAAGATTTATGTTTTGGGTGGATATGGCGTAACTGGTGGCCGAGAAACGTGGCAATTCTGGCAACACAAGGTGATGCGCCCTATTGATATCCCCAGGTGTGGTTCCCACAGAGTCAAACGCCACATCATCATGAAGGTGTTGTTATACGTATTTCAGTTCGCTGTTTTGCTGTTCATTATATCGCATTCGTTAGTTGCATAGCAATGACTTTTAACATGAGTTAGTAAATGAAAAATATAGCCATAATAAATATAAAAACTACAATGAAAATGTAAAAAAAAAAAAGACCGAGTCAGATGTCCCGGCAGTGTCACGTGGTGTGGAACGTGACTATCGTTTCTTTCTTTTCTGAAAACTCCGCGTACCGGCAGACGATGGCTCACGGACCGGCACCGGTCCGCGGACCACACTTTGAGTAGCACTGATCTACACCACGTGCTTAACTGTGTATACGGCTACTTATCTCATGTGACGATGTGCCTGTAACGACGGCTTGCCTGTAGCGGCCATCTGTCTACAGTGACGACATGATTACAGTAGTTACCTGTCTTAAGCAGCTACCTGTCTTAATCAGTTACCTGTCCTAAGCAGCTACCTGTCTTAATCAGTTACCTGTCCTAAGCAGCTACCTGTCTTAAGCAACTACCTGTCTTAATCAGCTACCGGTCTTTAGCTCTCTGTATCGTCTGAATCACATGTTTCAGTATTATGGTTTGTGTGGAATCATCATTGGTGGCAGGAACGCTTGAGATACTGACTTAGATCAACACCGTATGAACGCTTCCTAATGACCATCTGGCCTCTGTATCACGTACAGTTGTCTTCAGTGACCAGTTGTTGCTAGAAACTACCAGTTAGTAAAGGCCAGTATTCGGCAGCTGGTGTTTGCCCTTAGTGTCACCTGTCCTTGAATTCCTTTTCTTCTGTTGCCCCAAGCTGTTGTACCTTGCTTGTCATTCAGGTGTAAATACAACAAACTTTTCTTTGCATGATGAAGACAAATACTACATATGAAATTAAATAACTATGATTACGAAAATCCAACATTTATCAGTTTAAGAAAATTATAACTAATAACAGTGAAAGATGACTTTTTTGGGTGAACTAAGAAGGTGTGTGTGTGTGTATGTGTGTCCCAGGGTGAAGGAGAGGAGGAGAACAACAATGAAGTGAAGTGGAAGGACAGAGTGGTGGAGTGGGTGGGTGAGACGGATGTTGGTATGCAGGCGTGTCTAGCGTTGTCCAAGGGTATGAATATTTGAAGGACTGAACGATAATGTCCAAGGTTTGGAATAATTGGAGGAGACTTTATATGTGTTACTTTTATTGAAGAGTTAAGGACTATTTAACCTTCTCTCTGTCTCTCTCTCTCTCTCTCTCTCTCTCTCTCTCTCGTTCGGAACTGAGTGTAGTTTTGGTTGAACTTCTCAGGACACTTTCTACGTCGTTGTTGTGTCTTTCGCGAGTCAGTCAGGTGCCACCATTTAGAGACAAACTAATAACTATTTCTTTTAGTAATAGAAACACTTATTACCTTTCCATTCCCGTAATTACCATTGTCTTTCTTCCCTGCAGGAGCTACATAATCGCGGCGCCACGACTTGCTCGGCCCTCTACAGTGTATCGACTAGCGGTAAGCATCCTGTCTGGGTCCACCCCCGTCGACGTCACCGCCCACATGTCCTCCCACAGATCCAGCTTCAACACTGCCCGTGCCACCATCTCCCCCGGGGACACCCAAGACCTCCTCATAAAGGTGGGTGGCATCCTTTCATCTTCAGGGTCGTGTAACCGCGTACTCTCTAGTGCCTGACGGAGAAACTCCTTATGGATGAGAATCTTCACTTGGTCTGAGAATTATACCGTAATATTATTAATGGTTGGGATCTTCTTAGGCCTTTGTTTCTTTTCTTCATCATGTCCTACACAATGCTAATTTGTACGTGACCTTAGAGAATAAAGTCACCTGTCTGTCAGCATTCTTTCTCCTTCCTTAAATGGAAATGTTAAATTTTACACTATTGGTAATGTACAGTCGGGGTCAAAAGTCTTGAACTCTTAGCAATATCCGGCATCTACTTCTGAGTTATACATATATGATTGGGATATACTAATAACACTACTTGTCATCACATATTATGCCTGAACAACAAAATGGGATAAAACTCCCCTTAATACCTAAGATCTTCGGGTACTTACACGCCAAATACTGACAAGTGTTCAAGACTTTTGACACCGACTGTACATAATAATCACCATGACTGAAGCCCCCCCCCTCCAGGTCTCTCATTCTCCTTCACTGTTTAAGTTACACTTCAGTTTCCTTTATTTCTAACGGAAGTAAATAATTTAAGTTTCATTTCCACCCTTTACTACTACTATTAGTATATCGTCAGTTTTGTTGACTACGTATTGTATTTACTTCTACGACCAACTAAGTAGCATTACATTTTGACTATTAGATATAATTTCTTGGCATCTCCTGACCTCTTGTTGGATCATCTTGCTTTGTGTGCACATCACGTACCAGGAAGGGAGACGAAGGGTGAGTCAGGGAAGCAGTGAGGGGCATAAAGAAGGCAATCAGATCCCTTCTTCCTGAGTGGTGTGATGTACTGTATACACATTGCTAATAATGTGGTAGCTAGCATTTACATTTCCTATACTTTGGGTACAGCATTACTAATACTTTACAATTTTGACATTCTTACAATTACTTGTGCAACAGGAGTATATAATTGTTTACAAAAGTATGTAACTGTATAGCTACAGTAAATATGTAATCTTCTTTGAGACTACTTGATCAGCAAGAGTTTGGGCCGAGCGATGGTACAAGAAAAAAGGCTCTGGGCTTTATCATTCATTATAACCTTACCTTGGTGACTCATTGTGTTATCTACAATATGAATTTGGCAGAAGTATACTGGACTCCTGCATCATATCTAAGATGGCGATTGGCGGACATTTTTCCTCAAAATGGTCGTCAGGTGAGATACAGAATCTTGTCTCATGTTAATTGAGGCTGATATTTATTTTATGCCGTTGGTCTTTCACTCTCGGTTAACCTACAAAACTCTCATTCTGGAAATTTGAGATCCTTTCATTACTAAATTTATGTAGGAATGCGGTACCTTCATATCATTGGCCCTCATTATTCTTTCTTTACATAAATCCTTCACTCCTATTGGTGGAGAATTATGGTACTCTCCTTGTCAGTGATCTTTCTTCTCTGCTTACAGGTTCCTAAAATTGCAGAGGACAGAGCCTTTACGCTATTGGTGGAGGGTCGTCGTGGCTACTCCTTGGTCTTCCGTAACTCCACCCAGGTGCTAGTGACGCCCACCTTCCTTACCATCCTCATGCACCTCTCCAGGCCCTGCTTCACCGGCGGCCAGCTCGGTCAGTACCAGGGTGGAACATAGAGAGTTCAAATGCCATAAGTGATAATGCACGTTTAGAGACAAATTAGAAGAAACTAAATAGGAAACGTAATATAAACAAAAGGAAAAACATACACAAGGGGGAAGTGGAAAGGACGATAAAAAGGAAAAATTATTAAAATATAGAACATGTTAAATAAAAAGTAGGCAGGGGAAAGATGGTGAATTGTGCGAAAATAGATAAATGTTGAATATAACGGGAAAAATGGATTGTGGAGAGAAGGAATGATTTAACATGCCTAACAGACAAACATGTTGGTGGCGGTGGGTAAAAGGTAACATAAACACAGATGTAATAAGAGAAACAACATGAGCCACTGTCAAAGGTCTATCATAGATGAGCTCTACTGTATGTGCTAATATTAAACAACTGACTCTGTATAGTAGGTCACTGAAATATACCTATGTATTACTTGTAGACACTGATTCCTTAAATATACTATTGAAAACCATCCATTTGTACGTATGTATGTATGTATGACTCGAGTAATTCATGTAAGAAACAAAATAAACATGAAGAAATCCTGTGAATAGTCCAATAAAGAGCAGCAATAGATATAACCAGCTGGGAGGTGAGTGAAGACAAACTAAGGTGGTCACTGCAAAACACGAGAACACAGGTAAACTACAGTAATTACGGATATATGGATGAAGAAGAAGAAACAACTCCCCAATTAAAACAAAACAAAAAGTGAATAGAACATTACAGGTAAAAGTAAACACAAAATTGTACCCGGTGAGAGAAGGTAGTTCAATAACCATGTTACTCCAGGTTATACAAGAGTGGGAGGAAAATAACAGGGAGTGAAGTAAAGGCGGAGTGGTTAGAAGGTGTGGTGATCCCTGCCTCCCTGACCGGATATTATGGGTCAGCACACTAGGCTGTAACACGCTTTGTGGGGTTGAAGACAGGGTGCTCTGAGGACGAAAGCAGAGGAATGAATCTATATTATAACAAAAGGTAAACCCAAATAGAGGTGTAACTATATTAGGTTAGGTTAGGTGAAGGTCTCCTGAACATTTTAGAAATTATGTTTTATGTGTGCTGTTTCAAAAGTAGTGTGTGTGTCCTCCAAATCAGTGGGATCAGTAACTCACAATCTTCACCTCCTCACCCCACAGTTAGCGCGCGGGTGATCCTCCTCACCACAGAACTCAAGCCTTATGATGAGCCCGTCGACGCCTACATCCTAGTAAGTACTGTTAGAACCTTATAATTTGCGTGTGTGGTATATTGATCACACGCACTGAAGAGAACCCGTTTGATGTATTCTGACGTCTCCAAGTTGGGTAGCATTTAACCAACGAACCTTTGAAATTCCAGTACAATAAAGACGAGAGTACAAACTTCAACACAAACTGGAAGTGAAGATTCAATTACCTTGGTGTTTTTGTGGTCATGTTCTCCTGGTCTTGAGACAAATGATGATCAAAAAAATCTGCCACTTGGTACGATGCTTGTAACTGTGGTGTTCAGTCTGTGTTTACTAGTTTATTGATTTTCTGGGGAGCGGCGTCAAGAAAACTGTAGAGATCAGTGTTTGTTGTAGTATAAAAAGTAGCATTTGTAGTACGAGAGAAATGTAGTACTGTATCATGAAGAAAAAATAGCGATGAAATACATTAGTTCGCAAAGTATGTACGAGAAAGGATAATGAAGTGAATCGCGTGGAGCATTTTGTTTTTATCATTTCAATTTCAATTGTTTATTCCTTGATAGAGGAAGCGGGATCCTAGTGCTGTCACTAGGTACCCCTGTACAATGACACCAGAAGCATCTGGCAAGTGTGACAAGAATATACAGTATAAATATTATAAAGGGGCTTACTAAAGCCTAAGGAAGGAAGGATATTCCTTTAACACATAATCAATATTATTTACAAAATATCTGGCCAGTATGGGGAGGATCATCGTGTCTCCGTCAGGGGGTCGTGGAGTGGTGGTCCAGCAGGCATCACGGAAGCGTTGTGTGTGGGAACATCTTAGGAGGTAGTGGATAAGGGTGCTGCTGTCGGGTCTTCTGCATAATGCACAAGAGCGTTGCACAGGGGATGCGGGGATACCAATCTCCCAAGCAAAGTCATACCCAATGATGATACGGGCAGCAATCACGTCCCCTTTCCGCGACCCTTTCCCGTAGACGTACGAGAGGTTTGTTTTTATCTTAGAAGAGCCAAGTCTCAAAAACTGGTTGACCAAGAATATGTCATTTTTAGGAGAGAGAAAAATATACGCTACCATCATCATGGCCACGCTTAGTATTTACGCTGACCAATGGTGATAATTTAGATTTTAGAGAAACACTTTGTACATAGGGGTATTACATTTCCCGTGTTTGTAACTATTACCCACAACCATAATAATCAAGACGGTGTTATTACTTTAACTCTAATCACAGTGTAGGAACTACTGACGTGGTAATTGACCTTACAGAAGTGAAGCACCTGACTGAAGTGACCTACTAATGGTCAGCTCGAAAATGACAGAAACCCGTAGCAGTCCACAATGAACCCAGAATTGTTTTGAAATTGTCGGGCATAAGAACTGCTAGTACCCAAAATATACAAGTTGAAATCTTAGTTTAGTTTTCGGTACATTTAGCTAATTTTACGAATGTTATGACGGTTGTGTCAGACCTTCATCTCTATCATCAAGATCCTTAGTGCGTCAAAGATTTATTAGCAGTTAATTTTATTTTGAACACATTTCTTATTATTTCCAGGTTATATATTGATGGAGAAATCGTTCGTGCATGATCGGAACATCAGTAGCCTGGTGTTGCAAAAAATACTGTGATTTGAACTTGTTTATCTTAGTCGTTCATCTGGTATTTTTACGCCTAGGAAACTCAGTCAATATATTCATAAATTCAAAACTTATCTCTGAATCACTTAATACCCCAATATTGTTGTGTTATCAATGGTAAACACCTTTTTGTACGTCTGTAGGCCACAACTGTTAGGTGTTCGCTTATACTATGATAAATATATAATCACATTTTTCTTGGAGTCAAAATACACCGATCGCAAAGTTCGCCGTGAGATTCTTGTCATCAGAATTCAATTGTTGTGAATCAATAAATAAATATACAGGCTGAAGATTAACACAAAGAAATACTAAATCTGTCCTAACGTTTATTACACCAACATGAAGCAAGTTTACAGCTCGTATATTTTAATTTAATCCACTTGTATTAATGTCGGCAAACCCTCAGGCTTATCTATAAATATCGATTCATGTGGTGACCAGATACAACTTTTTATTAGGCTGGAGAAAATGTGAGAGTCAAGTTACTGTCTCACTCGAGTCTTGGTAAGAATGAATGAATTTAGGTGAGCTTTTATTATTTCTTATTTGTCTACTATATTGAATTGTTTTTATTTTGGATTTTGATGATTTTGTCAAGTCAGAGCCAAAGTTAAATTTCATTTGGTTAAGAAACAGTGCAATTTATATACAGTAGATATAAATTGTCTGGGTCTGTATCAGCCATGTGTATTGGCCTGCTGCTTTCCAGTGTTTACTTGCCATTTAGCTACAGTATAGGAATGGAAAATGTGTGACGGATGTATAGACAAAATTCGCAAATGACCCTTCACCTGTTTAACAAAGACTCGGCCCACTAAAAGGGCATATTTTCATAAGTAAGTCTCGTTATTTTCTTACAAATTGCATCAGTTAAAAAAAAAGTTTCGAATCATCTGAAACGTTTACTGTATATACTGTATGTTGTGTAACCTTGTCCTTGGTATGTTGTGTAACCTTGTCCTTGGTATGTTGTGTAACCTTGTCCTTGTCTAACTAGTAGTCAAGTAATGCACTATACCGGAAGTTGAACGCTCTGTCTGTTAATGTCGTTGTTTTTATTTTGGTGCGATACCTGCAGTCGTTATACTATTCTTGATTTTTGTTTCACTGTTGTTATTCTTGTGAACAGTGTCAGTCCGTTTGTTCTCATAATCAGTCACCACCACCACCAGTGCCTTTGCTGTTACCCGGTTGGCTAAGAGGTTATAGGGGAGAACGTAACTGCCACGAGGCTTCCTGCATGATCATGAGCGGGATCCTCTCTTGTTATCCTTGGGCGGGAACTTTCCCAGGGTCAATAACTTGGTTTGTTAAATAATTCCTTAAGGTTTTTTTTCTTTTGCTAAACTATATCTTTTGATTAATATTTTTTGTAGATAAACGTATTATAATCTGATTTGGGTGTTATTGTGTTATTACTGAGCTTCAACAACTAAGGTCTTTAAGCACGTAACGAGGTTAGTAATACACAAGTCCATAATTTAATGTTATGGTGTTTCCTGAAATCATTTCGTGCAATTACCTATAAAAATACATTCCCAACTTCTGTTTACTGTATGTTGCAATATCTCAGTCTTCCAGCCTACAAATTCCTCGTTTTCTCTTTATTTACATTATTTCACCATTCTCTGTACTTTTCCCATTTTCTTTCAACCCCTTTCTCCCTCAGACTCTAGACACACGTGTACAGTGGCCCACCTTGTCTCGCGTCCTTTCTTTCCCATCAGCTCATCCCTCGACTTTATAACCTCTTCCTCACTTTTAATAACAGCTCTGGAACTATTTTAGCTGAAGGATATTATTACCCGACAGGAAACCCGCACTTTTTACAAATACGAATTGGTGGATAATTTTACACATGGTTTGTCGGCGGCCCAAGTAAATGTTTTGCATCGCTTGGTTTCAATTCTTAGTGGACCCGAGCCATCGGACCGCCTCACCGAGTCCCACTTTAATGTGAAGTGAACTGGAATACTATCTCTAATCTTGCATGTGTCTCATGAGGATTTATTATTTTTTTCATTATAAAGGATTGTGTTTTCCTTCGTCATCAAAGTCATGCTCTTTTTCAGTTGATAAATATAGTTATACTTATATTATACAGGACTCAACTTGTGAAAAAGAAATTCATGTAGAAAAGATCTTTGGTATACTTTTACTTTCATCCTCTTCGCCATTGATAAGTTCATTAGCCGGTTGGGCGGTCGGTAATGTCTCTCTCTAATTTATTTGCTCAGATTAGCGTTTTTAAGTCCTGTACATTTGTCATTAAAACCTTAGAAATTAGCCCACCTCTGAGTACTTCTGCTGTCCACCATACACACCAATTCTCACTGTTAGAGTATTTTCCTGCCTCAGTCTCTTAGTTATCCACATTGTGTCAATTCATATTAAAGAAGTCAACAAAAACTTTACCAAATGATTTCATCGGGTCTTTCAAGCGAGTTTAATTTTATTTCGTCATTTCATGGTATTGGCAAAGGAAGACCATGTAACTGTGGCCTAATAAGCTGTGTTATGTGAGAAGAGGGAAACCAGGAGACTGAACAGTGAACATGTCATCTTAATTGATTATGGGGGACATTATGTAAGATACAGATAGTTTATCGGATTGTTTTATATTTTTTTTTAGTTTCATTGGACAGATGATCACTGGAGTGGTGCAAAGTTACGTGGCAAATGTGTTTACGTACAGAACGGTGAAAATTATTACAAGGCTACCCACACTAACTTTCAGATAGGTATAACGTCTGTTGACACTACCAGTTTTAATTATATATCTTAATACAGAAGCAAAATGTCACATATTTTGATCTTTGCAAATTATCATTGTCAACATTGTTATTAAATAAAGTATATCGTTCGTTGTGGTGTGGCCTGTCCGACTGACGGTCAAGGCAGTGTCTGATCAGCCTGTTAAATTAGTCGTCTTGGGAAGTCTCGGAAAAAAAAAGTTGAGTTTATGACACAGTAACTTTCTGCAGTAGTGTTAATTTATGATACACTAAACTCCTCTGATTTAGTGAGCTTATAACACACTAAACTCCTCCAGCGTTGTAAACTACCGATACATCAAACTCAACCAGTACGTGTGAGCTAACAACACTGTCATGCTCATCAGTGGCGTAGGCTTACCCTTCTAGTGATGTGAGTCAACGACACACCACAACCCTCCGATATGTAATTTTTAAAGGTATGTACACTGCCACAACAACAACAACAACATCACCACCACCTGCTCGACCAGTATCGACCCTCACTACCCACTGGCTACCTCTAACCTTCTCCTCCCTTACCTCCCCTCCCTCTCCCACTCACCATTATTGTTCCTCCCCTTCTTACGTATGACCCATGTCTCCTCCCTCTCTTTCTTCTCCACCATGGTTCCCCTACCCTTCGATTCGTCTCTTCATTACCACTCCTGCACCACCCTTTTCCCCTATACCACCCCTTTCCATTTCCCTCCTCCTGTAGTAATGCCCCCCCCCCCACTAATTTGAGGCAGCACCTCCCACACAACAACCTCGCTTCATAATTAATGATAACTACGGGTATCAGGGTCACCTTCAGCGCCTTAGTCGGAGCCTCCTCAAACCTGTCTCTTGCGGATTGTGATTTATTGTGTTATATATTAGAAATGTTGTACCTTACTGTGTACCCTTTTTCTTTGAAAGAGGCAGTAATACATGAATCTAATATATGTCGTAAAGTATAAAGTATTTTCGCTAGTGTAATTGGTTGCTTCATCTGAAAATTTAGGGTTTTTTGTTTGAAACGAAAAGGTGCGTTGTTCTGATTCATTTATCTAAGACTGAAAGATTTATTTTATGAAACTATAAGAAATGTTTGCTAGAAGAGCAGGGGTTGTCTCAAAATTTTTGTCTCTTGACCAATCTATTTATCACATGTTCTGTTTAAGCCTTTTCCCTGTTTGCTTATTGAAATGACTGTTTCTCTTGTCTCTTAATGTTATATTTTAATATGAGTAATGAATATATAGTTATGATAATTTTAATAATAGTAGACTTATGGTGGATATGTGGTATGATCAGCAAATGTATAGGAATCTGTTAACTGTACAGTATAGCCAAATACTTGTCAGCTCACACCATTATAAAGTAACTGGCTGTATTTATGTACTGTACAGTTGTGTAATATAGTGTTATGGCAACTTTTTCACACTCGCGTCTTTTTTTTTTAATTTGGATGCTCTCTCTCTCTCTCTCTCTCTCACACACACACACAGTTATGAGGGACTGTACAATATTCCGACTATTCTCCACAGGACCCACAAGGTAACATAATCAAGCGGTGGATGTCGAGGATGCCGCATGTTGGTAAGTCATTTGTTACTGTTTTCATTTACTGTACATTAATTGTTTTATCCATACATTCTTATAAATGAAAATCATCAGTATAGAAATATTAGTTGTTGCCTGCAGGATAAGGGATTTCCACAAGGCAGTATCATCTTATTAAAAAAGCGAGCTCATGTCAACTGTAAAGATTCATGTATATATATACAGTATATATATACATATATATATATATATATATATATATATATATATATATATATATATATATATATATATATATATATGTATATATATATATAATATATATATATATATATATATATATATATATATATATATATATATATATATATATATATATATACGTATATATATATACATGTATATATATATGTATATATATGTATATATATATATGTATATATATAAACAGTATATATATATATATATATATATATATATATATATATATATATATATATATATATATATATATATATATATAATTTTTTTTTTTTTTTTTTACAAAAACTTTCAAGTTATCATATTTAAATCTGGTGTACCCTTGTCTAAGGAAATTAACGGAATTTTTACATGAACGCAAGCAAACAAATTTTATAGAAATATTGTACAGTGTCGGACAGGCCAGGAATGTATCCCATTGAAATCCATGTGTAAAGGCTCATGATTTACTTTAATTCAGTTTACATTAGGGTTTTCAGAAATGCAACCCTATCATAAATAAGGGGATACCTGTACTTATTATGCAAAAATTTTAGGCCCTTTTCTGTTCAAAGAAATGTAGTAATTTTTCATGCAAAGTTATACTGGAAATATCCTCTTTAAGGAAATCAAAGCATTTTTCATACACACTAATGGTGACATGCGGCCGTCAGGAGTGGTGTCTGTGAAGTACCAGCTGCCGGAGCTGCCACAGGCTGGATGGTGGAGAGTGAGGGTGTCTGCCGGCAGCCAACATCAAGAGACGCGCTTCCTTGTCCACAAGATCTATGACCCACTTTATGAGGTAAATACTGCTATGACTCACTCACCTTAGTATCAAGTGCCATCCTCTCTTTACATCACTGTATCTCTGATAATACCAAGCATTTATTGTTCCTATGTTGTTGTAAGTCACTGACTAGCACCTTTCCAACCAACCTTATCATTAAGTGGTCTAAATAGCCACACCTTTAGTATACAAACTTATTGCCAACAAACTGACCATATTTCCAAACACTTAAAGGCCTTATCATCACCCAACTAACCTTACCTCCTGAAATTTATTTATCTTACCTTACGAGCAGTAGATGGACCTGATATACGACCTCATTTTCATGGATCTGACTTTCTGACTTCATCACCATCTGACCAATATTAACGTCAGTGAACCTAATTGACTTTACCTCCAACTTTGTGACCAGCCTTTTTATACTATCTCCGTTAGCGTTAGGAGGGTTGACTCGTGGCAGTGTGTCGGCCATGGCGCCTGCCGAGGACTCTCGCCCTGGGATTCTAATCTCGCCACCTTAAAGACATCCTTCGAGAGCCATCTTGCCCATGGGCGGCTCCCGAACCTCAGTAGTATTGCCAACGCACAAACAGCGTCTGGAGATGCGTCAAGGAGAAATCACAAGAGTGTGAATGTCTAACTTCAACTATACAAAACATATGTCTGGTAACGGTACAGATGATATCTATGTTACTCGACTTATTTGACACAGAATATTACTACGTTAAAATATGAACACTGATATTCAGAAAAATCGGCTAAGTTAAACTGAATTAACATGACGGCGAGAAACAATCACACATACCTGGAGATGCGTCAAGGAGAAATCACCAGAGTGTGATTTTCCCTCGTGCATTCGTATATATGCGCGCCTGAGGGCATATCGGCTCCAGAAAGACTAATCTTACTAACAATAGACCTCCTATTCAAAGTGGTCGCTGGACACCTAGCTGTGACTGTCAGAGTCAGGTCAGGTTAATTTTCCACGTCTATCTTTATGATCTAATCAGAGATTGAGTTGTCAGGAAAGAGGTGAGATGGAGTTATATGTGCACAAGCAACTCTACTCGCCTGACCGCAGACCACATCCCAGGTCAGAACAGCCGTTAAGTCTTGGAGAATTTTGAGTCTGACAGGAACTGTTCAGTAGATTAATGACTTTCTAAAATAGGCAACTGACACTAAATAAACTTCAAACATCAGATTCCCTGATGTTTGGGCGACAACATAATATAACTTCAGTAGCGATAGGAAATTCAGGATGTTCCCACGGACGACATAAGATATGCCACTCTAGCTGGCAAACTCGACACTCACTTACTTGACAAGTTTCACTAACAATAACGACAGTTGAAGCTTTCAACATCACTCACAATGGATCTTGAATGTTCCAACTGTAAACAGACATATCTAGGTTGCCTCACCAATTGCAACCACAGTTGCAATTTCAAATTCTGTCATACTAAGGAATAATGAAGTCTCGGGTACATTCTAAGATTGAGAGAAAACGGAGGACTCAGGCATCCTGAAGCGATGAGAAAACGGACTCCTCAGATGGGGAACTCTAATAAGAAAGCACAGCTACATGTTTTGTGGGCTATTGAGCGTAATATGAATCGTCTGATTTTACGTTAACTGACGTGTATGACCGTGGTCATTACAATGTCATTAGTACAGTTTTTACTAAAATTAAATACAGTTGAAGCTTTCAACATCACTCTCAATGGATCTTGAATGTTTCAGCATTATAGTTACATCTTTTATGGACTTTTAAGTGAAATATAAATCGTGTAACTCTTTCTATAACATGTATGTTTGTGATCAATACTTTATTTCTTCCAGGTGTTTGTGGAGATGCCCTTTTATGGCCTGTCAGATGACGAGGAGATCCAAGGCACCTTGACTGGGAGTTACTTGACCGACAAGCCAATCTATGGTAATGCCTCCCTAACCCTCTACGTAAAGCAGCCCTGGACGTTGCCAGACTCAGATTTCAGCCGCGTCTCATCCATCTTCTACAATCATGTGAGCTGATTCCCCACATTAGATTGTTACTGTTTCCAGATCTCTTGGATAGAAAAATTTCTCAAGTAATTTTTTTTTTTTAGAGACTTACCGAGTTGATTCAGGGCATATGTAGAGCACTGAACTTCCAAATGCAAGCGCTACAGCTGGGAACATCTACTCCAAGCGAATAATGGAGGGCAATTGAATTTCAGGGATTGCACATGGTCTAGATATAAGTAAGATGCATCCACATCTAGTGTGAGCTTGTGGGGTATGGGATGTTTGGTTCACACTCAGGATGGGATGGAGAAAGGAAACTCACAATGTGCTCTCTGTATACATGTTGTATTGGATGTACAATGCAGCTTGGTGCTGGGAAGTGGCAGCGTGGTTACAAGCGTGATGTAGAGAGAGCTGGTTGGTGAGGGTGCTCAGAGGAGGACAGCTTGTGGGTCGCCATGCTCGCCGGCGGGAGGGAGGGCCGCCAGGCAGCGGCGGAGGAGGAGGTGTTGCATGCTGGTTGGTGTAGGTAGAAAAGAGAGAGGTCACCACGAGGTCAGGTCTTTTGTAGCGGAGGTCGGCTTGGGCAGATAGTTGACCTCCGCTCCGTGGGCGGCGCTGGTTGACCTAGACCACGAGGCACACATTGTGGAATTCGCGGGGTCGGCTACTCAGCGACAAACAGCGTTTGTAGGGGAGAAATCCACTACAAGCTAATGGCTTTCGGCCTCTCTTGCTTTAAGTCTCCCTTTTTAGGACACTATAGTTGTAGCGGAGAAGTGAAACGAAGGCTAATAAGATTAATTAGTCAGTCCAGCTATCAGTATGTAGGGTCGTTTTAGATATAGACTTGAAAGCATGGTGCATAACACTACCGGTATATGAATTCTCTGGTGGAAGGCATCAGGTTACAAAATTTACATTGCTATTTTTAACTATTTTATGTAATTTACAAAAAAAAGTCTGGGGATCACTACAGTCAATGTTTGTTGTCATAAACCTCACTTCTTTCATCTGTGTTGTCAATTTTCTCTCCACAATCAACACTTTCTTCACCACAGTTGTCGTTTTCCACACCACACGTCTCTTCTCACACCACTCGTCACTTCCCCACTCCTTTTCGTCATAGCCTTAACGACTGCAGGTAGATGTGATGGTGGATTTCTCCTTCCCGATGGCGTCATTGCTGGAGTACGTGCAGCAGCTTGAGGGTGCTGAGGTGAAGGTGGAGTGCGATTTCTACGACATCTTTACCAAGATCAAGGCTGAGGGACACTCTAGGTGGGTACTTTTTCTTTTCTTTTTTATCCTCTTCACCACAGATCTGTGCGCCAGCCACCTGGGCAGTCAGGTATATCTCTGTTATGCACTGTTGGCAAGTATTGAGCATGTACTGCTTTCAGAATGTATCTGTACCTGCTGTTTGTGGTACAGTATCCTATGGTATTTTTGTTTACAGTATTCTCTTAGAACATGAGGTGGATCCTAGAACCTTTTGGTATTCTAGAGTAGTGTTAGAAATACTATAAGAGTCTCCTAGACCTTTATGGTAAATGAGAATAATCTTTGGAATTCACCAGGACACTAGAGAGAGAACCCACAACACGAGAAAAGATTGGACCAATACGGTCAGATACCGGCGAGCTCACTGATAACGACGGAGAAATGAGCAATACAGTAATTTGAATAAATATTTTTCAACAGTTTTCACCACCGAAAATTTAAACATGATACCCGAGGCACCGACTCTATTCAGAGATAGTGAAGAAAACAAATTAAGCGAGATAGTAGTGAAAAGTAACGATGTTAGTAAGCAAATAGACAAACTAAAGCCTAATAAGTCACCTGGTCCCGATGAGATATTTGCCAGAGTATTAAAGGAATGTAAGGAAGAGCTTAGTATGCCCTTAGCAAAGTTGTTTAACATGTCCTTAAAAACAGGTGTAGTACCAGAATCCTGGAGGATAGCGAATGTAATACTGATTTTCAAGAAGGGGGATAGATCACTATCCTCTAACTACCGCCCAATCAGTCTAACATCAATAGTAGGCAAATTACTGGAAGCAATCATTTCAAACTCTATACAAAATCACCTGGAGAAGCACCGATTGATCAATGATTCTCAGCATGGCTTCACAAGCGGACGCTCTTGTCTAACTAATCTATTAACATTCTTTTCATCAGTTTTCGAATCGGTGAACGAGGGGCACAATTATGATGTGGTATATCTTGACTTTAGCAAAGCCGTCGACAGAGTCCCCCACGAAAGACTAATTAGAAAGGTAGAAGCACATGGCATCAAAGGTAACATCCTTAAATGGATTAGGGCGTTGTTACAGGACAGGAAACAGCGAGTGAGCATTAACGGCACTAAGTCCCATTGAAGCAACATCACGAGTGGAGTTCCCCAAGGCTCAGTACTTGGACCATTATTATTTATTATATACATAAACGACATAGATATCGGCATAGACAGCAACATAAGTAAATTTGCTGATGACACTAAAATAGGACGTGTTATTAAATCTGACGAGGACTCCGCAAAACTACAGGAAGATCTAAACAAATTTTTCGAATGGTCTGAAAAATGGCATATGAAATTCAACGTGGACCAATGTAAAGTACTCAGTATAGGAGATGTAAACAGGGAAACCAGATACCAGATGAACAACGATGCCATAGAGAAATCCGACTGCGAGAGAGATTTAGGAGTAATGATAAGTAGGAACCTCAAGCCAAGTAAACAATGTGTTTTTGCTCGTAACAAGGCTAATAAAGTACTTGGGTTCATACAAAGGAGTGTTAGTTACAAGACTAGCGAGGTCATCCTAAAACTGTATCTTGCGCTTGTGAGACCACACCTGGATTACGCAGTTCAGTTCTGGTCACCGTATTACAGGATGGATATAGAATCATTGGAAAGAATTCAGAGGAGAATGACAAGACTAATCCCGGGCATTAGGAACCTTGAGTATAGAGACAGGTTAAAGCATCTTAATTTGCACTCCCTCGAGAGACGTAGAGCGAGGGGCGACCTGATAGAGGTGTATAAGTGGAAGTCAGGGCTAAACAAAGGGGACATTACAAAGGTACTCAAACTATCCAACCAGGAGCGAACTCGTAACAATGGTTTTAAATTAGACAAATTTAGATTTAGGCGTGAAATAGGTAAACACTGGTTTGGAAACAGAGTAGTGGATGAATGGAACAAGTTTCCAAATATCATCATTAACTCGAATATGCTGAATAGCTTCAAACATAGGTTGGATGCTTATATGAGCAATAGGGGTTGGGTGTAAACGGGACTGCCCAGTATGGGCCAATAGGCCCACTGCAGTTTCCTCCATTCTTATGTTTTTATGTTCTTATGATTCTAAGATCTTGTACATTCGTGAAGAATTTAGGTTACAAGACATTTTCATTAGTTACTTTGTGGAGGTATGGGTTTGTTTGTGTTCACACTCAGGATGGGTTGGAGAAAGGAAACTCACAATGTGCTCTCTGTATACATGTTGTATTGGATGTCCAATGCAGCTTGGTGCTGGGAAAGCAGCATGGTTACAAGCGTGATGTAGAGAGAGCTGGTTGGTGAGGGTGCTCAGAGGAGGACAGCTTGTGGGTCGCCATGCTCGCCGGCGGGAGCGAGGATCGCCAGGCAGGCGGAGGAGGAGGTGGTGTAGCTCGCTGCGGCTGAAGCTAGAAGAGAGTTGGTTGGTGAGGATGCTCAGAGGAGGACCAGCTTGTGGGTCGCCATGCTCTCCGGCGTGAGCGAGGACCGCCAGGCAGGCGGAGGAGGAGGTGGTGTAGCTCGCTGCGGCTGAAGCTAGAAGAGAGTTGGTTGGTGAGGATGCTCAGAGGAGGACCAGCTTGTGGGTCGCCATGCTCTCCGGCGTGAGCGAGGACCGCCAGGCAGGCGGAGGAGGAGGAGGAGGTGTTGCTGGCTGGTTGGTGGAGGTAGAAAGAGAGAGATCACCACGAGGTCAGGTCTTAAATAGCGGAGGTAGGTGTGGCTTAGTAGTTGACCCCCGCTCCGTGGGCGGCGCTGGTTGACCTAGACCACGAGGCATACACTGGGGAATTCGTGGGGTCGGCTATGCAGCGACAAACAGCGTTTGTAGGGGAGAAATCCACTACAACTTCTCTAAGTTAAAAAAAAATCATCATGAGATTAAGGGATTTATCCTTGCAAATTATATCTCAAATTCCTTTGCACTGAATGATGCCATGGTAATTTAGAAAAATGTCTATGTTGCTGAACTCCTGCAAGTGATCTTTGGACTGCTCAACTGTACCAGTTGAGAGGAGCTCCTAAGATTTTAGGTTATCTAAAATAAGTTTCTTGGAAAATCTTAAATCCCCAATTGTTCCACTTTATTTTAATGTGGCTGCTCTTCAGATGTAGAATTTACCCATGTAAGTCTTAAGACAATTTTCACAGTGTTAATAGTTGTTGGGTTAGGGTGCATGATGGTAATATTTCAAGGCTAAACTCTAACAGAGAAGCCTAGTGGTCATAGCTATCATAGCTAGTGTCCTGGTCGATCTTACTGAGTTTAAAACAGAAAATGGAGGCTACAGTATAGTCAGCTAGTCTTGAGATTTGGGATAACTTTCATGGTTTAGAAAGTGTTTTGCAAGTTTATTTGGATTTATATGGAGGTAGTGTTTTTAACTTGACTGATGGGGAAAATGTATTAGTATTTACCAACTATTTCAGGAGTATGGCAGAGATACTGTACTTCACATTGTTAGAAAATCTGACAACATTCTTAGGACTATTTTAATGGAGAAAAGGGTCATTCCAAGATAGTTTTCTTGTAATGTGAAGACTAATACGGTACATTCTTCAGTATATACCTGTATATTATACTATAGTACAATATATACAGTACAGTGTATTCTGTTTGTGTTTATATCACTGTTTACTATAACTCTTTATTAAAGTAAGGCATTCTTTTGTTGTGATCCTATACAAGAATTTATAATTTACTATTAGTGTTTTTGATTCTGCAGGATGCGGATTCTGAGCCCTGGGGTGGTGGTGTCGGTAGTGGGCACAGAGCCCTTCATCTTCAGGCCTGGGATGCACTTCAGTGCTGCGGTAAGTGCTTCTCCACATCCCTAATCTGGCATCTGGTAACTTACTGACTGATAAAAGTGATTCTAGTGTAAAGTTGTAGGACTCAAAGGAGGCTGTATACCTCCATTATGTGACCAAAGGCATTTATTGGGTTACAGATGACTGATGACATCATAAACTCATCCTAGGATGACTGATGCGACCTATGGTCATCTAAGATAACCTTAAGAGTGAACAAAAGTGACCCTAGGTTAACAGAATGACCCTAGGGTAACATAAGGTGATGGATAGGATTTCATTGGCACAATGTAACCATGGAAATAGTGATGGAAAAGAGATAATGAAAGAGAAGGATCATTTGACATGGAGGGAAATTATAGAGAAAGCAAAATGAGACAGATAGCTTCAGGTTGTATTTTTATGTAACAGTAATAAATGGAGCAGTGGAATGACACCCCACACATGAGAATAAATACTGTACAGTGTATCAGAATCTCTCTTACTCTTCATTTATTCCCCTCCCCCCCCCCCAACCCATACACCCATGCTCTACCCTATTTTCCCTCCCTCTACCCCTCACTCTCTCCTCATTCTTAACACCATCACCACCTCACCTTCCTCCCTCTTATAGGTGTCAGTGATAAAGGAAGAACGGCAACCCGTGGAGAAGTCACGTCTAGCGGGGTCATCACTAGTCATCACTCCCAGCTACACTACTTCCTCCGGCTCCTCCTCCACCCTCCCTCAGGTTAGTATTGAGATTTACCTTCTGTTATGTTGGCTTAATTTCACAATTATCATATTTTGTTTAAACCTTGATTTTTGTGACTGGCCTGGTAAAAATTACTTCATTCCCTTGTCAGTTTTTCAATTTAATGGGAGATGAAAGAAAGCGTCTGGTGTAATTGGCTTAAAACTTAATAATATTAATTTGCATTACAGTGGTCCCTCGGTTAACGAGCACAATCCGTTCTAGAAGGTTGCTCGTTAACCGAAAAACTCGTTAACCGAAACCAATGTTTCAATGGGTTTTTGGGTAATTGGTTCCAGCTCACCAAAAATTGCCTAAATTCAACAAAAAAGGTAGAAAAGTACACTTACTTTGAGGTGTGTTTGTAGAAGGCTCCTGGGTGATGATGAGGATGATGATGGGAATTAGAATGGGGGTGGAGGAGAAGGGAGAAGAGAAGGCATTGAGGTGGAACCATTTCACCCATAAAATTTTCGTTCACTTGGTGTAATTCAAGATTATTTTCTTTAAATCAACACTGCACTGCATTATATATTGTCACTATGTAAAATAAATTTTAAAATGACCAATAATTTGCTTGCAAACACAGAAGAAAAGCATTTAGTTGAAGAGAGTCTCAAGCAAGATGTTACCTCCACTGAAAAGACAGAGACTGTCGCTTGTTTGGTGTGTTGACAGGCTGGATGGCGCGCATAAAACTAGTTTCCTTACCTTCAATTATGTTCAATAATTGTTAAAATGACTAAAAAATTTAATATTAAACTTTTAAAATTATTGAAGTGTATAAACTTCTTGATATTTACTAAAAGTAAGGAATATAAGCCCTAGAACCGATTACTGTATTGGCGGACTAATACTACAGCTGGTGGACTGCCAAATGCAAGCGAAAACATGTTGAGGTCCGCTCGTAAGAAACTCATTAATCGAGGGATTGCTCGTTAACTGAAGTTAAGAATCTTATGGAAGGTAACTCGTTAACCGAAATCTCGTTAACCGAGGCGCTCGTTAACCGAGGGACCACTGTATATGAAGGCCATGAAAGCTTACATTTAATTCTCATATTTCTATCACCTCATGCTATACTGTTAGCTTTTTCAGTGCTATGAGCGATATTATATACAAAATGCAGTGGTCATAGGTGCAAATGGTAAGGTAGTCGGCATTTCAATTGTTCTTTAATCCAATTGAAACGGTTACTGTATCACCGACGCTTTAACTCCGTAAACTTTATCCTGTAATGTATGTATGTACTGTACTATATTAATTCTGCTCATGATATTCTTGAATAATTTGCTGAAGTTGCTATATTTTCTCACTTTAATGGTGAATTTAAAAATTCCAGTGAACGCTATAGTGATTCTCCAACTTTGTCATACCCTTGTCAGTGTCATCAGCACGGCGTATACAGTACAGCATTTCATTTGAACAGGGGGATATTTTAAGTTCTGCATATTTTATTAACCTTTCATTTGATTCTTTTCCCATATTAGAATGCAATTCTTATGTCTATGCACTGTGATATTTTAAATAGCCAGTTACTTGTTGTGAGATGTAAACCCAACAGGTTGCATGTTGCCATTTGTTGAGCTACTACAGTATTCTTTTATTTCTGGCATACTGTAAGTTTCTAGGAGTCATTAATTATTATTTATAGCAAATCTGCATATGTTTCCTTCTTAATCCATTGTATAAAAATTCTCCCATTTAAAGGAGGTATGAGGAAGTTCGATGATGTATATAACAAAAACCTAGAAACCAGAGCAATCATTTGATATGTGTTCTCTTTTCACCCCTGCATTAAGATCATCGTGCCAGCACTCACCACTGATGGTAAGTTGCAGGAGGAGACGTTTCAGGCAATCAGACATGGAATGAGGATGAGAAAGTGGGCTGCAGAAGGTGCTGTAGAGATACAGGAGACGAAGTGGGTGAATGAGATGGCATGGGCTGAGAGGGAGGTGCAAGATCTGATGCACAACTACACTAGAGAACAGTACTTCACTGAGTACCGTGAAACTGGCATCTACAGGTAGGTGGTGTTGATTTAGTGGCAAGAGATGATTTTTGGTAATTTCTTTAGACTTTATTACCCTGTAGTACAAAGGGAATTTTGCACCAAAACTGAAAATCAAATTTGAATAAAGCCTGCAGGTGTATATAGTTTATACTACTGTACAGTACATATACAGGCACCTTGAACTAACTTAACAATACTTATCTAACTTTTTTATTTTACTTTCGTAAAGTGAAGTCTGATGTTATTGATTGCTAATATAGACCACTTGCACATAATGTCACACATCACGTGATTTTATGATTGGCGCCATTTTGGGGAACACGACATAATATAACTTAGTGAAACTGAAGTTTTGTTAGCAATGGGGAATTTTATGCAAATTTAAACCGTATTAATAATTTAGGAAAAAAAAAGTAGTTTTTACCATATGCAGGTTATTACTCACTGTAACAGAAAAAACAAGGGTTAAAGCCAAAAACAATGAAAAAAGTAGGTGGCCAAAATTCAGAGAGCAGACCTTACACCAGCCAAATATAACAAATAATGCTAGTGTGTACAACAATCATGTTGTATAAAGGTTTTTATTTCTAAAGGTGCAGTTCTCACACAAACCTTTACTAGCTGTTTAATCTGACCACCTAGCTATATACCACTAAATATTCTAGGTAGGAAAAGTCACACAGTACTTAAATTAGGAACAATATAATTGTCAGTTTATCCCACGTGTGGATATTCTTGTTGGGGTTTATATGTGCTTGAGTCCATTCAGAATTCTTAACACATATGAATGCTTCCGCAGAGGAACACGTTAACAACTACAGAGTACTTCTATCTATCTAATTAACCTATTCTACCTAACCTTATCTCCTTTCTGTAGGTTTCAACTAGACATTCCCAAAGATGCAGCAACACTCCGTGTGGACGTGGTGTACCAGGATGAACACACTGAAGCATCCACCACGGCCCATGCCTACGCCCACTACCACCCGGGCAACAGGTAAAATAAAGAATTTTTTCATTACGTACATGTCAAAGAGTTGTCACTTTTTGCTTTTACTTTTATCCCCTTCACCACTGATCAACTCGTTAGGTATTTGGGCAGTCAGTCACGCCTCTGTTATGCACTGTTGGCAAGTACCGGGCATGCACTGGTTCCTGAATATATCAGAACCTGCTTCAGTGTTGGTCAAGTCTGGCCATAAATGAGCTCTCACTCGGTGCCATCACAACACACTGGCAGATTTTTCCAAGAGTTCACAATTCTCACTCCAAAAAAGTTTGCCACAGATGCTGGAAGGGGTTGATGGTTACTAACCACTCCTTATGAAGTACAGTCTGCTAAGTGTGGTTATTTTTCACATAATTGGGCACCTTGAGCTATTGTATATGACAAAAACACAAATCTAATGTACCTACTGCAGTTTCTGAGGATAAGATCATTGAATTTAAAGGTAATCTTAATTTTAGGGCTTTAATTTTTAGCATCTGCTGTAGGAATCTTCTGACCTCCCCAACTAGGTTATCAGGTTCCTAACAACTGTAGCAGTTGTCTCTTATCAGTAAAATATAGCCACCCAAAATAGAATGCGAACCCTTTCTGCAGTAGTGTTCCACCTTTTATCGTGACCATCCATTCATTATAGATGTTCCCATAATTACTGAAATTAACTGTTACTCCCTCAGGTATGTTCAAGTGACATCGAGCACTGATGAGGCCAAGGTGGGGGAATTTGCCATATTTCACATTCGCAGTAACTTCCCTGTACATCAATTTGTCTACCTGGTCAGTAATGGCAATTTTTGTGTTTGTTTTGAAAAACACTCACATAGGCACACACACACACACATGTTACTTTAGAAATATAATACAAAATTTTATTTAAAAAGTCAAGGGACTACAGTACATATCAGAACACAGCAGAAATGTAAGATGACTGAAAGAATTAGGGATAATAGTGTATTGAAAGCATAAGTAAATATATATGTTTCAATGGAAAATAAGGGGATGCATTTCACCCACCTCCACCAGACCCCTTATCACATTATGTTAACGTCTTCACTGATTAATGGGTATTTTCCACTCTTACGTGAGTTAGGTGTGATTACCTGATGTCAGCCCTCCGAACTGCATGGTCTCTTGCAGTCACTATTGTCAGGTGGTTATCTCTAGAGGTAATTTCTCACAACCTCTCCCATGTGATTCTTAGCTCCCCTCCCCACCACATTTAAACTCATGCATTTATTGACCCGACTGGTCTCCTCCATTCTCTCCACATGCCCAAACCATTTTGGCCTAACTTTCCTTAAAACTTTGCCAATACTGTACTCTCAATACCTTGGCACTCCTTTAGCTCAACAGGGTTTCCTATCTTTCAATTTCAAATTAAACATCATTGCAACAGACAAAAGTATAACTTTGCACTCTGGACAAATTTATGTAAAATACATTCAGAAGTGGACTAATTGGCATTGCTTTATTGCTTATATCCTGATCAAAAAATATATTTCTTAACGTAATTCCAGTATTACACCCCAGGACTATTAGTGGACCATATCAGGATAAACCTGTCTAAGATGAACAAAATGACTTACTCGTTGATACTAAGTATTGTACTGTATTTGCTTATAGCAAGTTGGATTGCACGCAGCTAATAACTAGGTGGAAGTTTGTGTCCTGGGCCTAGGTCAGGTTAGGATAGGGGCATAGGATACTGTGGTACAGTAAGTACAATTTCTGGGAAAATCATTAGAAATACTTTTTCACACAGAAGCTGATTGACCTATGGAAAGGTCTATCAGCCCAAGCTGTGAAATCAAGAACAGTACTGGGCTTCAGAATAGCCCTTGGTAGATTTATCAGGAACAATGGAGGGATCCTACACCGGCCACTGGCTTCCTTCCCACATGCACACACATAGGAAGTCGAGCTTTATTTGTGTCATCCCTTTTCATTTGTTTCCAGTCCTAATTTTTTAGCAGTTTTCCAATGACAATTCATTTACCCTTGATCACCGCTACCTCCCCCTCCTCAAAGGAAATGTAGACCTTAACACTACCCAATTTCAATTGCTTTCAGTCCCATTTTTCTATCTGTGACATTGTGTTTGGAAAGTGTATGAAATTGCAAGGTAACACAGTACAGTACTTTTGGCTATAGTACAATCTATTTCATTTGATTTAATACCTACGTTTTTATATACTCTCACAAGTTTGGTATATTATTTTGGCAAAAAATGTAAATGCCAGTGAAAGTTTGAAGTCTATTTTCTATTTGAGTATGTGTAATCAGATAATTTATCTATAAAATATTGTGTTAGGCAATTTTATAAAAGGTGTAAAGCAAAATCCAGTTTGTTCTATGAAGTCATTTTTATAAAATATATATATAGTTTTGAATGATAATTGCCTTTTCTTTACCAAAGATTTTTGGGAGACTTTGTGTATTTGCAAGCAAATGCAATATCTAGTCAATTGTACCCTCTCTAAAAGCATCCATATGTGTTCTTGTCATGCTGAATCTACTAATTATAGTACATCTTACTTTCTTCTTGGTCCACAGCCATTATACCTAAACTTCTTTCTCCTTTCATCAACCATCATTTTCACTCAATCTTTCAACAGATCATGTCTAAGGGCATGCTGGTGCACTCGGCAAGGGAGGTGACTCATGGGGTTGATGTGGTGACAGTCAGTGTAGCAGTGGCCTCCTCCATGGCACCAAGGTTCACCCTTCTTGTCTATGTCACTACTGATGATGGGGAGGTTCTTGCTGATGCCATGGCTCTCCCTGTCAAGTTCTTCAATAGTATGGAGGTGAGATACCAGTATCTTAGGTAGTTTAAAAGTGTTATATAATTGCTACCGGGTAATAGTAACAAGGAGATGAATTACAAAGGTTGATCTGATGAAAATTATATCTGTCAGTCATAAGTAAAAGGGAATTGAAAAGTCAAGTCCGTTTATGACTTGAGAGCTAGGTGTCAAGGTTTTCTAGAACATCAATTAGAAAATGGCAAGAATATAAAAGGTGAAAATGAGATGTCAGGTACTTTTTATGATGGAGGTGAAATGTCAAGAAATTAAATACCTGTTGTCTAAAGGTCAGTCATCAAGTTCTTTAAAATGACTGGTTTGTCCAGGGTTTTAAAATCTTAATAGTAACATGTTGGGGAGTCTCTATAATATAGGTGTAAGACAAGGTTTTTGTTGAAATGAACATTAGACATCAAAGTTTTCCTCTGGGAACATGGCTAATCATCTCTCCCTTTGGGGGGAGGTGAGGAGAAATTTAGGACTCTTTCTCTTCATACTCAGTAAATGTACGGCCTTCGTGCACTATTCCCTACGCTGTTCAGTCATTATGACCCACCTTAGAGGAGTGAATCATCATAGCTTAGATACTCTAAATGAGTACTTCTTAGGCAATGCATATTTATATACATTTTTATCTGCATTTAATATTATTTGGACATAAGGAATGCTCTTTAGGACTATACTGCATCTCCATATAAAGATGCTTTTTATAGTCAGTATCATTGCTCCAGGTACAATTATCAGTGAACCAGCACAAGGACCATTCCAAGAAGACAGTGGAAATAGTGGTGGGTGCTCCCCCAGGCTCGTTCTATGCCCTCACCTGCCAGCGTGCCCTCAACTACTTCAAACAACATCCTAATGACCTCACCCACACTCGCATCCTTGATCACATGGTGGCGATGGAGCCCTCTCCCAGGTGAGATAAATTATTACACATTATCCCTTGAATTGAATCAATTAACACTTATTATGTTTCTAGTAAAACAATAGCACAGACAATAACACTGCGTGGTCTTCTGCCCATAGAAAACTGCTCTCACAACAGTGACTGAAACAAAATTAATATACAGCACACATCTTAATATTATGTAAATACATAGACATGTGTAACAAAAAAAACACACACACACACACACACACACACACACAGCAAAAGAAAGGGAGAGATTCTTTTGCTTCAGTGAACTTAAATGAGCATGCTTTCATTGTATTTACTCCTCTTCATTATGATTTTAGTTTTCATTCACAGCAACTTTTATTATTATAACTAACCACACCTATCTGTTGTTGCAGAACCTTCCATGGGGTGCTGCACCGATCTCGTGATGGAAATTATGATGATCGTCTAGTGTCCCTGGCTGCCTCCAGCTATGCAGGAGATGTTCTTGCCACTTTTCAAGATGCCGCACTGATTCTTCTTACTGATGCAATTATCTCCCTCACACCTGGCAGAGGTCCTTAGCATTGTCTTATTATTTGGTGAAGAGGATAAAAGAAAAAGAAAAGTAACAGAGACATGACCGATCACCCAAGCGGCTAACGAGCCGATCAGTGGTGAAGAGGATAAAAGTAAAAGTAAAGTAAAAGCATCCTCACATTCTGCTCTCCCCTTGTCTTTATGTCTTAGTTTTTCTTCTTGTTAGAGATTTTTCTAATTACGGGGTACTGTTTTTTATACTATCTTCGTGTCTGCCTATCTTATCTCACCCCAAAATATCTTGAGAATAGGTTTGTGGATTTTTCATTATACTTTGTAGGTTTGATAGACATATGACAATACCCACATGAGAATCTGCTAGTGCAAAATGTACCAAAATTTACTAAACATTGATAAAGTAACAGTTCATACAATTATGGGGTTAAAAAAAACAATGACACAAGACAGTCTCCAGTAATAACACATCACTTTTTACTATTACCTTACTTTTATCCTCTTCACCACTGATTGGCTCATTAGCCACTTGGGCTGTTGGTTATGTCACTGTTAAGCACTGTTGGCAAATACTGGACATGCACTGGCTCTTGAATATATCTGCATCTGCATCAGTGGTGGTCAAGCCTGGTCTTGAAGGAGCTCACACTCAGTGCCATCACAATGCTCTCTAGCAGATTGTTCCAAGATTTTTTTATTGTTTAAGCTTGAGAGAGAAATCTACCTAAAGCCTGTTCAGTTTCATTGATTTCAAGGTGACAGAGTCATTGTATTGGAGGAGATAAGGGAAGATATCATACGGAAGTTATCATCTTAAAGTTTGATAAGATATGTTCTTCCTGACAGAGAGGCTGTGTAACATAACTGAAGGCTACTTGGAATGTGGAGATGGTATTTGCTTTCTTCATGAGCATCTCTGTGATGGAAATAACGACTGTGCCAATGGTGCTGATGAATTGGGATGTAAGTAACTATACTTTTATCAATGCTTGTATTTTAAAATTCAGTAATGACTCCTTTGCTGTCCTATTTTTCTGTCATTACTTTTCCATGTATAAGATACTTTATTGGATATTATTTTCCCATAGGCGAAAGGTTGTACCAGGATTTCCCACTGCAACATGAGGAGCAGGAAGGTGAGTATATGTTTTTGAATTTTGTTTATGGTACCATTCTTTTGCTCCAACCCCCTAGTTTCATAGTTTTAGGAAATTATTTTTACATACAGTAGTTCTTTGGAATTCCATTAGTCCACCAGACATCAAGTACAAAATATATACTGTATTATATTTTGGTTATCTTTGAGTTTGTAACTTTAGGATTTGGACTCATTTGATCAATCTTCCAACATGCATTATTGTTGTTATCACCATTTTAAGTTGGAAAGAGATTTCATGCATAAAGCTATGCTCAAGACAGTCTTGATAGACAGGATGACGATGAATAAATTTTTTATTCCAACAAGTGTCACAGAAAGAAATTCTAGCTGTTTGCTAAGAAATTGTGTGGGTAATCAAATTTATCCTTTCAGATTTTTCAAGTTTTATATTTCTTCTCTATTGGAACTAAAATCTATTACTCTCCATTTTTCTACAATGTTGGTGATACATCATCCAGACCCACTTGAGCTGACCTCAGACACACTCTTTCGGTTGCTGAGAAGTCACTTCATTGAGGACATCTTTGACGTAGATGATGTCGAATGGTGCAACTCTGAGATCTGGATTGGTATGTGAGTGATACAGTGGAAGTTCTATGCATTTACAACTTCTAAATATTCATTTGACCATATTTTTTTAAACTATGAATTACTGTACTTCTTCAACATGTTTACCGTATATACTCGTGTGTAGTTCGAGCTTTTAAGACCAAATTTTTAGGCAAAAAATTGGGGGTCGACCTCTACATGGGTAATAGTTTTGTTAGGTTGAATCCGTGCATGATGGGACGGGCGAGGATTAACTTTTAGCTTCAGACATGAAAAATATTTACCATTTACTGCCAGTAAACAATGGAAACGTAAAATATGTACCAATTAGAAATGAAAAGCTGTGCAGTGCCTTCAGCAGATGAAGCTCACCAACTTACAATAGGCTAAATTACCTTACAACGTGCTTTCAGTAGTCTATGTTGAAGTTCTTAGCACAGGCTATCTTATTATATCATATACAGTATCACAGTACTCATTGCTCTACAAAAAATACCGGTAATAAAAACCTTTTCGATATTTCACACTCAAAAACTTGGGTCGGCCTATAAACGAGGTAGAATTATAAACGAGTACATACGGTAGTAAAACCACTTTCTTCTGTAGCTGTTAACCTTGTTCTTGTGCTCAGGTCACCATGGCCAAGAGGAGATTCAGCAAGAGATAGCTAAGACTGAGGATGAATGGGTGTTGAGGGGCTATGCTATACACCCTGAACATGGCCTCTCCTTCACCAAGCAGCCCATTTTTGTGAGTTTGATATATGCTGAAGACAAGTGGTGCTGGGTTGTATGAAGTTACAGGGGTTTACCATATTAAAATCTTGGGGCCATGTTGTGGGAGGAAAATAGTCATTGTAGCACACATGTTGCAGAAGTTAAAGAAAATGCAGGGTCACCAGACTCATTTCTTCATGGCTGCAGGAAAACTAAAATTCAAGGAGGAACCTATTCTTTCATTTTGGTCAGGAATTGAATCTGTGACCATTCATTTGCAAACTAAATGCTCTTCAAGTTGAGCTATGTATGAATTAGAGAATGGCCTGTAGTAAAATTTGTGCTAACTCCATACTCAGTGATATGCTATACAGTATACCTTAACCTGTTTCATTAATGATAAAAAAATTATTGAAGTACCATTTTCCAGTTCCACGTAAAGGCAAATGAGTGAAGTTTCCAATATTTTATATTTCTTAAATTATGATCAGTATGTGTTCAGACCTTTTGAAACATTTTAAAAACCTGTGTTTTATTATTATGCTTACTGTCATATGCATGTTTAGTCAGCTTACAGGTATGTAGATGATTAATATAGAAGCTCTTGCAATACTGTACTGTATATTAAGTTTAAGAATAAGGAACTTATAAATACCTTCTTCCTTCAATTTACAGTTTGCTAGTGACCCACCTTTCTACATCATGACTGAGGCTCCTACTGTGTGCCGCAGAGGAGAACAGGTAAGTCCTGCCATGTATATAGTTTACAAGTGTTTGTTGATACTGAACATGTATCACCTTTCAAAGGATATCCGATGGAGACTCTCCTCCAGACAGCTCAGTCATCTTGCTTCTTACATCCATGAAGATGCAGAGCCCTGTCTGTTCTGAAACATTTTGTTTGGTCTGTATGGCCTTCAAGTCCTGACAAAGGAACATGTAGAAATGTTTTTAACATGCCATCTGGTTTGTGTATTTTTTAAATTGCAGGTACACTATTTAAAACTACAGCATTAGAATATCAGAATAATTCACTAATAAGTGTTTTAGTCCTGTATTTAATATTTTAGGGATTGGAGTCCACCTCCTTAACTTTTTGCAGAAGGTCACTGTCAGCATTATTTTAGGAGGTAAATGGTACATGTGTATGACCTGTATTAATATTGTGATTTACTGTCACAAGCAATGTTTTCTGGAATTATGATTAAAAATTGGAGCGCGACGGTTGAGTGGATACAGTGCTTGCCTCCTGTTCTGGGGTCAGTTGTTCGATTCCCGGGCACTCCAAGTTCACCCAGCTGTAAATGGTTACCTAAGTTTACAATTTGGGGAAGTGAATGTGGTCGAGTGCAGTACTGGCGATGCTGCCAATTTGTGTACCGAAGGCTTTGTATACAGTGTGCTGTATCCACACTGTCCCTTATGGGCATTCATTCCCATGGGACCCCACTTTCACTTTTTTCATGATTAAATATGACCATTAAATTGATGTTAGTTAGTGACTATTCGTCCCAAAACAAGTCATAACAAAACTGTACACCAGACAAGAAACACAAATCTTCAAATATGAGTGTCTTGACAGATCTCCATCCGTGTGCTGATGTTCAACTTGCTGGACACAACCATTCAGGCTGTGCTGCTGCTCCACGACAGTGATGACTACAGCTTTGTGAATGTTGAGAAAGATGGCCTTGTGCAGTATTACAAGCCTAGACTATCCCGAGGCCAGCACCAGCACCTTGTGTTTGTAAGCCATATGTGGAATTTTTCATTTTGCTCCTCGTGTATTAACACTGAAGATTTTTTGTCATACATCTCACCATTAATTATTTTTTTACACCAATCATACCTATACTTCTCTGCTGATCACAAGTCTCTCTAGTGGTTGTGGGCAGATCAGGAAAGGAAGTTACTAGGTGCTTGTTAATTCATTCCACCCTCCTCAGATAGTCCCACAGAACCTTTTGTTATGATGCCACTCTTCTCTGTTGAAGCTGATTTTGATAGTTCTTGTAAACATTTACAACTGGTCCTTACCCCCAGTTACAATAAACTGGACTCCCAAGTCATTTTTTAACCATGACCTCATGCAATTTCTTGTTTGCAGTCCTCATTTCTCTCAATAATTACTGTACTTACTTAATTTCTTCACCACTTTTCACCTTACTTGCTGGTCTTCAAAGCATTTACTATTACAACATTCTTCCTCCCAAAGATCCATGGCAATGGGGTAAAGGAAGTGATGCTGCCACTGGCAGTTAAAAGACAGTCAGGAATGATGGAGGTGACGATAGAGGGTGTGACACAGATCCGCAAAGATACTGAAACATTGGAAATAGAAGTTAAGGTAGGAATTGTAACCTAAACATATTGAAAGGTACATTTTCCTTAACCCTTAAATAGTGGCCAACATAATAAAAGTTAGTTGTAGAGATGGAGGCAGTGCCGGATTTAGACCTGTGGAGGCCCATGGGCAGCCTCTTTGTGGAGGCCCCCCTCATTATAACTACCGAAGAGGGTGGGGTGGCGAGTGAAGCGAGCCTAAATATCTGGGATTTCCTGGGGGCACTGTAAGCCCCCCTGGAAAATTTTGAAATTTGAACACTTCTTTGGAGAATTTTGAAGCCATATGCAGTTATATTAAAAATATTAAAAATATATGGTTCATAGGAAAACCAGGTATTCATGAATTTCAAAGAGTAGCTAGCCTAATTTCTATCACGCTTCTTGCTGAACATAGTTTTACGTGATGGAATAGATAAACATGAATTTTAAAGATTGAAAATAAAAATAATCCAAATGAATAAACAAATAAATAAAATATTGTAATATGTGGAGGCCCCCAGATTGTGGAGGCCCCTGGGCAGCTGTCCACTTTGCCCACTCCTGAATCCGGCCCTGGATGGAGGTGCATATGGAGGTGGATTAGGAAATCCTTAACCACCATTTAAGGGTTAAGGAAAGGAAGGTCCCTGTCAATATTTGGGGTCACTGAGTCAAAGATAGTTTTATGGGTCTGCAATTGCTAATCTGAATGTACTTGCACCATAAAGTATCGGTGCAGGGTGAGATCGACAAGTTCCGAAACAATACGTATACAGGGCTGCCAACATACGGCTGGAACAACTCGCCTTTCCCAATACTTATCGTCACTGGTCTCAAACTGTTCACACTACAGTATGCACCGATACTTTTTGTTGCGAGTGTACAATCAAAGACAAAAGTCGTGTCGCGGTTTTGTCCGAAGATGAAACATTATGAGAACCCTACCACAAGGCAGAGCATATGTTTTCACCAAATTTCACGACACAACTTTTGTCTTTCATTGTACATCCGTCAGTGACTGTGGTACAGTATTGCACTGGTACATGGCCTTAGGAAGAAGAACCTCCCTGTCAGTATGGGATCACTGAGTCAGAGGTGAATTTCATTTTTGCCTAAAGTTAGAATATTGGTTTCTGAACATTACTTTCCAGTAAGTTTCACCTATAAATGTGATCCTCCACAAATGCCTTGTCCATAGATAGAAAAAGGTCAATGTGAGTATATTATGTGTTTTTGTGGTACTTTTGTTTGTAAAAGCCATACTAGCTAGAGGACTTAACTAAACTCTGTTCACTCCACTCTTGCAACTTGGCAAATTCAAGGGAAGTTTATGATTGATCGAGTCATGCTGGGTGAATATGAGCGGACGTGGTGATATACTGTAGTTAGGCGTTACTGGTCATCTTTAACTTTCTTTTTCATTTTAAGATATTTGTGTTATCAGTGTGTTTCACATGCTAATTTTTACTTCCGCATCTTTGAATATCATTCTAGATCAACACTTGATTGTTAAGATTACTCACAGTTAAAGCATACAGTACAGACAATCCCTTGGTTACAGAACTCGGTTTACAGGAATTTCAGGCTAAAATATGTTTCCCATAAGTCTCGTTATAAAAATGTTCGGGTTGCACAAGAATTTCTGTTATTACGGAAGGTAACTAGTACACAGTAACAACACCATTTGCGGAGGATTATGCATGAGACAGCTGACTGCATCCCCTTGTGAGACACCATCTGTGATTCAGTACTGGGTACAGTACATATTAACCTTATGGAAGGGTTATTTTTGGCTTACAGAAAATTTGACTTACGGATAGGGTCCAGGAATGGAACTTTTCCGTAAACCAGAGAGTGTCTGTACGGTATAAAGAAAAGAAATTAAATAATGACGAGCTCTAGATTAACCCAATGCACCTCATTCTGTCAGCTAATCAGCTGCATTGATAAAATCTGCTCTAATCCCTGGTTGCAGAGCTCAGGTGAATGGAGTCTAGAAAGTATCTTTTATCATTGCTCTTGAGTCATTGTAGATGTGTGATACTTAAGAGAAATCTTAAATTTTTTAAACAGGTAATTTTGTATTTGTATGTAGTGTTGGTTTATATTTTCTGTTAAAACATTAAAACTGAGTAAACAGAGGATATATGAGTGATTATCAAGCAGAAAATTAAATTATGATGGTGACTGAGGTACTTAGTCAGTCCCTAGAAATGGTGTAGGATTTAAACATTCCTTAGTATTGTCTTCACTCCGCTTTAACTCATGAAGGAGAGAAAAGGGATTTATAGAACTTGTTTTCCACAAAAGGTGCCTTCCTATACTCTTTTTATTGTATATTACAGTACAGTATTTAAATCAGTACTGTAATCATATTTTGAAAGATAATTAATTCTGAACACATTAGGTTTTCATAAATAGAAATGTTTAAGCTTTTCACATGAATTAAGCTGAACTTTATAATGTAAGACTTGATAACTTCCAGGAATTTTCTTGGTTGATGCCATTCACCAGGCAGCTAACATGAGTATGTTTTGCCATTTTAGGGGTTATAGGTCATTGTATTGTACCCCTATTTGGTAATTTAGGGTTGACCTTATGATCACCCATTCCTCCCTATCACCTTTATAAAAGGAATGTTAGAAGCAGTGGTTGCCCTCTAGCATTAGGAGGTTGTCAACAAGTTTTGTCTACTCTGCTAGTACTTAGTTCAAACCAGCGACAGAATGTCAACTTTATTTCAAGGCCAGTCTGCTATTTGGGATCCAATCCTCAGCTCTGCTTACTGCTGCAAAAGTTTAGTTTCTTACTTAGTGCAGATCAGGTTCCATTGGTGCAGGGAGAGATTTGTCTGGGATTGTATCTGGCTATCCCTCCATACTGGGTCATTTCTATAACATAATTGGGAATTGTCGTGGGAATTGTTTCTGGCACCTCTTTTAAAGTTAGTTTAGATATTGATTCAGCATATTTCCATACCAATTCAAAGATTTGGTGGGTTTTCACCTTTAGGTTCCCCTTGGTTTTATTTTACCAGTGTCCATTCCATACCTGCTCATGATTTTGGCGAGGTATTCCACCTTTTACCTGCATTGAATCTGCAGTTGGCAATTAGAAAACAAACTCAAGGGAACCTGAGGTGGGAAAAACTTTCATGTTGGCAAAATAAAATGGTGATGATCACGATGATTCACATTGTTCTCATTAGTACATAACATGCTAATTGCTTATTTCACTTGGCAGAAAAATAGTAATGGGGTGGAGTCAGCTATGGAGACTAGATTTATTGAATAATCATTCAATAAATTTAGTCTCCATGGCTTACTCCTGTGGTGTAATTAAGGGCAGATCCAAAGGGCTATTTAATCTTGCAGTGACTTCTTTTTTTTTTTTGGATCAGGGATGACTTTGTTTTGGAACTTTTGACAGATATGTTACATAAAAAGATCATTGTCATCAACAACATTTTGTAGCCATTTTCTGTGTTTGCATGGGTTAACTGCAATTCTCTGATGACAACTGTCCTTGCTGCACAGTCTTTCAGTCCCTCTTGTCAACCGGCTTTATCCTGAAATCTTATTTAGCAGCTTACTCCATTGCTAGACAACTCTTAAATACCCTTAACTGTAGTTAGAATGAAGTTTGTACTGGTTAGGTGTACATAGCTTCTTTGGAATGATTTTGCTTCTAGTGCATCCCTTATTTCAAAATTTCCCATAGATCATTGAGCTAAGATGCAAAATGGCATTTCAGTTACAGTCCACCATTTATATACTCGATGCTTTAATATTTAATGTAATTATTCAAGCCTGAGGGCGTCCCAGTCAGAAAACACACATCACTCGTGCTGGATCTAAAAAACCGTGCTCTGGTGTATGAGTTTCTGGAAGTTCCTCTCGACCAGAGCCCTATCATCCCAACCGAACTGATCAGACACTTCTTATTTGGCTCTCCAGCTGCAAGGATCTCTATTACAGGTGAGCTGCATTATCTTCTCTTTACCAGCTCCATCTGCATGTAAGTAAAGAAATATATTGATAATTTCTTCTTGAAAATTAGCATAGAATTATCACGCTTATAGAGTATTATGTGATTATTTTTAAGGTGATGTGTTCGGGCCCATATTGAAAAGTATCTCAGTGGATCATACACAGGTGTTCGGTGGGAGACACTTCAGGAGTACTGATGGTGTAGCCTTCAACTTTGGTGCTACACTTTGGACCCTTCACTACCTCAGACTAACAAACCAGGTAATGCATATCTTTTAAACTGTTGCCAACATGGCTTCAGCTCTGATTTGTATACTGTACAAGTATTTAAAAAAACATATATTTAGAACTTACCGGTACATAAAAAACGATAACTTGAACTGTACATGTCGGTACCCTTTTATGGGCATCTAAAATGCAAACTGGTTTTTTACTGACTGTACAGTACAGTATTAAGTTCTATCAATGGTATGGCAGTGTTGGCACAAACAATCTCTGGTTGATTACAATGGAGATATGCCCTCGATGATGCCATAGATGTGGAAGACTGTCCTGGTCAGGCTTCACATTGACCATGCTAGACTGAGACATGGCCATTTGATGGCTCGAGAGCCCCATCCAGTACAGTATGTGATGATGTGAATTACACGAAAGCACTTGGGAACTTCGTGTTTTCTTCTTTCCTTGTGGTTATCAGCATATACCTAGATCACGCGCACCTACAGTGATTTACTTGCATATATATATATATATATATATATATATATATATATATATATATATATATATATATATATATATATATATATATATATATATATATATATATATATATATATATATATATATATATATATATATATATATATATATATATATATATATATATATATATATATATATATATATATATATATATATATATATATATATATATATATATATATATATATATATATATATATATATATATATATATATAGGTATATATATATATATATATATATATATATATATAGGTATATATATATATATATATAGGTATATACAGTAGTACGTACCCCGATTTACGCGGTCAATTGAACCCACAGGGTACCGTGGAAAGTGAAAACCTCGTAAAGTGAACAACAGAACATATGGGATTAATTCCAATAGAGACTGGCCCGACCCCCAAACTCCACTTTTTCTGACACAATACCTATGTTGTAGTAAAAATAACATCTTCCCAGCTCACTAGCTCCTACCTCTCTGAGAAACGATTGGGTGAGAACACTAGATTTTAACGTTTAGTAATTAATAATACCTCAGACTAAAGTTAGGATAATATAATTGACATTTCTGGATTCCTTGAAGGTCAGGGAATATTTTGAATGTAAACTTCATATATTTTGCACAAAAGATAAAATATTTGCTTTGTGTAAACCAAATTATTACATTAGATCTAAAATTTGTATGTCTAATGCAAAATCCATGATGTTTATATTTAAAATAATGACAATCTTATAAGAATTCCAGCAATGTAAAATAGGAGGTGCAGGGGGAGGAGGGGTAGGGTGGGAATCGTCTAAGGTGGAATTAGAGGAGAATAAGGTGCCAAAGAGGTTGGCTTTCTCAGGGGGAGAGTTGGCTGTAGAGTTATTGGGACGGAAGAGGGGAGGAAAAGAAGGCGTGCATACCATCATAAAATTAAGAAGTTATTTTTACTACAACGTAGGTATTGTGTCTGAAAAAGTGGAGTTTGGGGGTCGGCCCGGTCTCTATTTCAATTAATCCCATATGTTATGTTGTTCACTTTATGCGTTTCTCACTTTACGCGGGCTGCCGTGGGTTCAATTGACCGCGTAAAGTGAGGGTTCACTGTATACTTCACCCGCGTAAATGACCAAATTTACTGCGTAATTAAAGCATTTCATTCTGGCAAGGCACCGCGTAAATGACCAAACGCGTAAACAAAAGCCGCGTAAATGCAGACTCCACTGTACAGTGGGGTATGCTATAACGAACGTAATTGGTTCCAGAACCTCGTTCGTTATAGCATTCGTTCGTTATAGGATTAATCCGTTCCAGGCCCCCAAATACAACCGCTTAACACTGAAAAAATTCTGTGGAAAATGTAAAAAATACGGTACTTTATCTTACCTTAGTGTTATTCAGCATGCAGGTACCCCTAAACACTGGCACATCACTATCACTTCCACTGGGAGTCTTGGCTTTAAGGTCCTCAAACAATTGTTTAGCCTTCTCACAAATTATAGCCTCACTAATGTTACCACCTGCCATTTCTTTCTCCTTTATCCACACTAAGAGTAAATTTTCCATCTCTTCAATCACATTACACCTTGCTTTGCTAAGTCTAAAGATTCCCTTAGCCACTTGCACAGTTTTTAACTCCTCTTTATTCTTCAAAATCGTACATATAGTCGATTTAGCCATCCCATATTCATCACTAAGTTTCGCAATGCTTCTTCCATTCTCACGTTTCTTTATAATTTCTTTCTTAGTTTCAAGGGTTATTAGCTTTCTCACTCGCTTTGGACGACTCATTGTTACAATTGTATACTTGTATAACAAAATAGTTATACAAATAACGCGAATTTCCACATCAAAAGACGAAATTTCAACAATAACAGTGGTGCACTGGCTACACAATGAGACAAAGATGGCGCCTGACGCTCTTGTTGTGGGTCGCGGTACAACAATATTCATGCGCCAGGCGAAATAGTCCCGTATTCATCCGCGTTCGTTATAGCATTCTCAATTTTATAGGTAAAACCGTTCGTTATAGGAATATTCGTAGTAGGATCCGTTCGTTATAGCATACATATATATATATATATATATATATATATATATATATATATATATATATATATATATATATATATATATATATATATATATATATATATATATATATATATATATATATATACTGTATATATATACCCAAAAAAAATTTAAGATATTTACTTCACCCGACCGGACCCACTGCCAGACCACCTTGATGACTGGCTGACTTGTCACACCACTCAACACATCTAGCACTCAGCCAGCATCTACACAGCACACTCATGACATCTTGAACAAAAAATAAATTTTAAGTTATTTTGCTTCATCACTAACACAATTTTATTTTTTTACTCCCAACTTTTTCCTTCCCTTCACTTGACAACACAGATTTTCTGACATCACAAGACTTTCCTCACCTCACAACACTTCTCTCTTCACTTCAGAGCAATAACTCTTTGCTTTACTCCCCACCACATATTTTCACTTTAACTCTAATTCCATCATTTCAAAACACTTGAGTAATTATAATTCACCTTGAGTCAGATCCACTGCTTACTGGACTGCTTCAAGTCAGATAACATGAAAGTATTACCATTTTATAAGAAGTGGAAAACTTTAATATTTCTCTAAGATATGAAGCACTAAAAACATATTTATGGTCTGTTTATATGAGAAATCACAACTTAACATTAAAGAAGCCCTAATTACAGAAAACAGGCAGAGCTAACTCTTTTGGAGTAAGAATTGTGAACTCTTGAAATAATGTTACTTTAGATCATTTTTAAATAGAAAAACCTTTTCAAGTGAATAAGGTGTCACATGACTCACTCTTGTGTTACCAGATGTACTATATCTAGATAAATCATTCAAGAGCCTGTACATGCCCTTACTTGCCATTAGTGATAACAGAGAACTGACAAGCCACCTGACCAGTATATATTAAACCAGGACAATCTCTTAGTTTTGCTAGCACTGCAATCTTTTGTTATCACAGTTGGTAATGTCAGAAGCCCAGGATGTGTTTGACTACCTGACAGTGCAGCTGGGTGGGCTGCTGTGGCGCAATTTCAATGGTGGTTTCAGCATGTGGGCCTTCACTCCACCAAGTGTTTGGTAGGTAAATTTTTTTCTTCAGTCAGTGGTGACCTGATGGTAAATTCTAAAGTGATAAACACCTCATTCTATTATTAATGAAATAAGGTACAGAATTATTTAAAATTTAATATGCCTTTCATCTTAGCTCATCATACAAATACTGTTTCATTCTATTATTAATGAAATAAGGTACAGAATTATTTAAAATTTAATATGCCTTTCATCTTAGCTCATCATACAAATACTGTTTTAGATGATAATTGTTGACCTCTGTTTCAGTAGATTGAATGTTTTCTTTCATTTTAACAGTATTTTGGGGTTTTCTTTAAAAATAAAAAATTATGTGTTTAACTTGGTATGGTAATATACTCATGGAAAATACTTTAAAAAATACTGATAGCCCTTTTTAAGCAAATTCATGATAGGGTTTAACTTGGTTGGTTTAGTAATAATATTTATGGAAACTACTTTTTCATTCTTTTACAATGTGATGCCAGTTCCAAGTGATCCGTAAATATGTGAAGCCAAACTTTTCATGGTTTTCCCAATAGAACCTTATTCCACGATATCTGATGATAATCCAAAGTTCACTCACTCCATCATAACAACCATGGCCCTGAATTAGAGATTAGAGATGATAGTGTGTTGAAAGACAAGGGATTGTGATGAGATGGCTGTTAACCCCTTATGTATACCTCATCACCTGGCATTAGCCAAATAAATTATTAAAAGTGGCTTTCCCCATAGTGAAGAGGTTAATGGGTTGTGTGAAGTGATGAGGGACGTAGTAGGGCTTTTGTATTTTTGTATGGAAGGGAAACATCACAGTAGAATACAAGGTTTACGGTGGTAGGTTCTGTAGAATGTTTGATAGAGAATGATGGGAGAGTCTGCGTTACTCTTTCTTCTGACCACCCAATGTTGTTATGGAAAAATGCTTGCAAGAAGGAAGAACTATCTGGCTTTAATTCATTTTCTTTGTTGATAAATATGTTTGAGGTATCAGTATTAGCTTTCTGTAAGGTAGTAGTTAATTATTAAATCTATCACATTTACAGGCTTACAGCAAAAGTTATCAACATACTTCTGGAAGCACAACATGAGGATTGGGAAAATTTGCTGTTCATTGATCCAAAGATCATTCAAAAATCAGTTAAATTCCTACTTAAATATCAAATGCCTGATGGTGGTTTCAGAGAAGAAGGTGAAGTCACCCTGGACAGTAAGGTAACTGTAGCAGAAGTTTGAGCCAATGTTACCTTTTCAGTGTACGTAGATTTCCCACAACTCGTTTCACTTGGCTGACTTGTGAAGAGTTTAATTTTCTTGAATATTGTATTGTACCTGTACTTCTTTTTATGTTCCAATCATTTTAAGTGAAAAAGGTCATACAGTGTTACCCAAGTATAGTACCATATATCTGTTTAAACATGCTTGTGTACACATGTGCTATTTGGTTACTTTTCATTAACCCTCTCATTGTCTTCATTTTATTATTATTATTATTATTATTATTTTGATTTTATTTCTTTTTTTTTTTGCATTTCTCTCTCAAGGTGCAATGCTTTGGCAAAAAATAAATGATCAAATAAATTACATTAATTAAAAATATATTATTTATATGAAACATTAGAGATCGAATACGTATAGTACAGTACTAGATGAATATCTGTACATTTTAAAAGAGTTCCATAAAGGCCTTCGTTTTCTCCACCAAAAAATTAAAGAGCTTATCTTAGTTTTAATTTTTTATTTAGTTTTCATTGTACAGTACAGTAGTGTACTGTATATGTATCTGACAAAATTTTTTTAAGAATTATACACACCCAAGCTAGAGGTGGCCATGCCGAAGGAAGAAGCCCAGTGTTCTGAGTTGGATTCCTTCATTGTTCTTAATAGTCTTGTCAAGGTCTATTTTGAAGGCCACTACTGTTCTTGATACAGTAAGTCCTCGCTTAACGTTGGGGTTACATTCTTAGAAATGCGACGTTATACAAAACGACGTTAAGCGGATCAATTTTCCCTATAAGAAATAGATAAACTGGGAATTACGTTCCTGAGCTTCCATTTGCCCCATGAAATACATTACATATACAGAAAATCATTGCCATTTCTATTGAAAATAGAGCATACATATACAACTAGTTTGTATTGGTACTCACCGATGGGCGAAGGTTGCAGTGCGAGTGTGTGGTGGGTAGTGGAGCAGAGGAAGCAGATGGCGGGAGCGTTGGAGGAGAGTGGAGGGTGGGAGCGGAGGAGGGCGGAAGAGGAGGAGGGTGGGAGCGGAGGAGGGCAGGAGAAGAGGAGGGTGGGAGCGGAGGAGGGCGGGAGCGGAGGAGGGCGGGAGCGGAGGAGGGTGGTGAGTCACTGAGCTACGCCGAGCCGAGAGAGCATAGCATGGCCAGACAAGAGCGGGTGATGCGACGTAGAAACTAGTCCATGATGATGCAAAATGGCGTAGTATCGGATCACCGGGACATTAAACGAATTTTTGGTCTTTAAACTTTAGCGACATAGTACCGAAGCAACGTTAAGCGGGACAACATTAGACGCGGACTTACTGTATAATAATAATAATAATAATAATAATAATACAATAATGATAATAATAATTATTTTTTCACTAAAATAGTCATACAGGTTTACAATTGGATAGGTATTTATATAAACTATGCAGGTACAGTCACTGCAAAAGGTATCGTTATGATTTTGTGTGAGACAATATTTTTTTAACCAACGAAGGATTTTGACAACCCTACGGAGACAACAGGAGCCGCAGTGCTCATTTTGAAATTCATCAGACCCCCATAGACCATGGGAGTACATGTACAGTATACATTTTCTATGTGCAGGTATAAAACAGTAGTAAGCGGTAGGGCAGTCGGTCCAATGATAGTTGACATCTACCAGATGCTTATTTCCAGTAGGGTCCTTTGCTTAGCCTTAGGCTTGGTATCTCAGTAATAGGATACCTACAGGAGTAACTGATTTTTTTTTTTTATAAATATATAACAAGCATTACAATGAGATTGGACTATCTGAGACACTACAACATTCTGTGATTCATAATACTGTATAGAAACTCGCTCTCATCTCTTGCTGTAGCTTCATCTACTGTTTACAGTAGTTTCAGCTTTGAATTGCTTGATACCATTGCTGGTTTTGATGCCCTCAGGTAACTTGTTCCAATCTGCTATAGCTGTAAAGAAGAAAATGTTTTTCACTGACCGATTCCACAGCTTGAGCTGGTAGACTGTTCCGTAAGTGTACCACCCTTTGTGTGAAAAACTATTTCCTTATACTCATCCTGCATGACATCTTCATGAACTTGAAGTTGTCCCTCATATTGGTGGTGCATGACACCACAAAAAATGTTCTAGGTACAGTAGTACCCCGATTTACGCGGTCAATTGAACCCACAGGGTACCGCGGAAAGTGAAATCCTCGTAAAGTGAACAACAGAACATATGGGATTAATTCCAATAGAGACTGGCCCGACCCCCAAACTCCACTATTTGACGACACACAACTATGTTGTAGTAAAAATATTATCTTAACTTTATGATGGTATGCACACACACTTAATATAGAAGAGGTTAGGTTAGGAAAAATAAAGGTTAGGTTAGGAAAAATAAAGGTTGGGTGTAACACTTACGTTAGTAGAAGAGATGGGTCGGCATGCGGGGATGGAGGCTGGTTCCGAGGCAGAGGGCAGATTACTGGCCCTCAGGTGAATCACCATTACTAGGTGCATCACCATCACTATCAGTTATAGTTGTCAGGGCTTCCCTGACAAATCCCTCAAAGTCACTTTCACTGTCACTATCACTGGCTCTGGCTGGCTGTGGTGGGTTGCGGGCGAAGAACTCGGTAATGCTTTTTTGATGGCTAGTGTTGATGTTGTCTTGATACACCTTGATGTAGGCTCCATAGCCTGCACCAGCCAGGTATGGAAGACTTCATAGCGGTCATTGTCAGGGTCGTTGGAAAGGAAGAGCTGTAATTTTTCTGCACACTCGATGGCACCCTTAATATTACTATGCGTTAATTTGTGTTCTTCTGGGATTGACGCACCACCTTCCTCTTCACTGACGTTATCATCTTCCAACATCTCATCGGCAGTCATTTCAGGATCTCTGATCACCTCCAGGATGTCTTCGTTGGTGATCTCGGAGAAGCCTTCAGCTGTAATACTGTGCGCAGCATCTCTTACAAGGTCCAATGCCACTGTCACAGACTGAACCTCACCAGTCACAGGTTGACTCCGCTTCTCACCTGGTATGCCATGCAACACATGCCTCCATGCGTGATGAATCGTAGCTATAGACAGCTGATCCCATGCCTCCACCAAGAAGTCTGCAGCTTGTTTGACATTAAATTTCTTCCAAAACTGTTTGACGAGAACTTCTTGAGTCACCACCTCTTGTTCATTGTCTCGTCGCATTTACTCTCGCTGTCGGTGTCACCCAGCTTACGCAACTCATCCTTGGTGTTGGTACAGTCGTTCAGGAGCTTGAATTTCTTTGCCGAGTATGCTGCTTTAACATTGCAGATCAACTCCTGGTCCATGGGCTGGATTAATGATGTAGTGTTGGGAGGAAGGAAGACCACTTTTACGTTGGGGTGATGATCCATAAGTAGGGGCGAGTGTCCTGGTGCGTTGTCAAGGAGCAACAAAATCTTGAATGGAACATTTTTTTGCTCGCAGAATTTCTTCACGTCGGGAATGAAACAGTCATCAAACCAGGAAAGTGACAGAGCAGAGAACATCCACGCCTTGCGTGCGGTCAGCCAGTGGACATTAATCTTGCTCATGTCCACGTTCTTCTAGGCGTGCGGCTTGTGGGCTGTGTGAATCACCGATAACTTTGGTTTACAGGTACCGGAGGCATTGGTGGTAAAGAGGACGGTGATGCGCTCTTTCTGCAACTTCCGACCCCGAACCTTGCTGGCAGACTGGACAACAAAGGTCTTGGTAGGCAGCTTTTTCCAAAATAGGCCAGATTCGTCCATGTTGAACACCTGGTCGTCAGTGTACTGCCCTTCCTCCATAACCTCACATAAGAACGGAGGAAAATCTCTTGCCGCCACACGGTCAGCACTCACTTCTTCACCACCAATGTTGATGTTGGTGATATTGTTCCTCTTCTTAAACCTATGCAGCCAACCAGAGGAAACATTGAAGGGTTTGGGCTCTGCAATTCCCATCTTACGTGACACTGCTGCGTACAGTTCACGTGCGTACTCTTGAACGGATCGAGTGTCCACTGCCATGTTGCGTCTCGCCTGATGAATCAAGTAACTCACCAGCAAATTTTCCACCTTTAGCAGCACCTTGTTCTGGCAATACTTGATCATTGAAGCACCTGCAGACTTTGTGATTCTCATGTGCTCTTTGATCTTGGCTGCATCCTTCTTAATAGTACGAATCGTAGATTCGTTGACTCCATGCTTGCGCGCGAGATCAGCTTGACGTGTTCCTTTCTCCAAATCTTGAATTATCTGGTATTTCACTTCGTAGCTTAGGGAACGTCGTATCTTCTTTGGCTTAGGGCGGCTGGGTCCAGGTAAGGAAAGGTTTCTCTCTGGTGGCGGTGGTCCGGCGGAAGCCATTTCACAGAACAATGGATGCACGTATACCCGGTGTGGCCTGGAGGGATGAAACTGCCGCGGTTAGGTCAAGCGTCGTCTTTCCTCCCTCCCTCCCGCGGGTGGACACGTCATATTACTTTAAACCAATTACAGCTAGCAGCGGAGGGAGGTAGGGATGCACGGCCAATCACAGTCCGATACGTCATATGACGTCAGTGATAACGCAACAGAGACATGCACTGCGCAACCTTACCGCGCGGCTTGGCCAGGCGGAGGAGGGAGGAGGCGGGAGCAGGCGGGTGGGTCGAATCTAAAAATAGCGTCGAGCCGGACACTCTGTGCGTATATGGGTAGATGCACCGCGGAAAGTGAAAGTTCGGTTCTGGCGAGGCACCGCGTAAATGAGAAAACGCAGAAAGTGAAACCGCGTAAAGCGGGGTAATACTGTATATGTTTTCCATCCTTTTCAAGATTTTTAATTTTTCTTTGAGATCTGACTTTATTGTTTCTCAACATTTAGTAACTTCTAAGCACAAAGCTGCCGCTGCTTGCAATACTGGTCAGCAAGGTTACCATGCCTTTTTACTTCGTTTTCTACAGCTTCTGGTTGGCAATCTATATTTTCATTGGACCTGTGCAATCCAAAAAATCCGAAAACCGAAATGCATCTGGCCCCAAGGATTTCGGATAAGGGATTGTCAACCTGTACTGACATTCCTGTGTGGAAACTGGAAAATAAGTCTATGAAGTATTTTGGGGGAGAAATACAGCAAGGAGAATGTACCAAATGAGGCTATGCAACTTTTTTTGTCCTCATTTTCTCTGAGAAGAAACAAAGTTTCAATTTGAGGAAAATAATAAAACTGAGCTGCCTGTATTTTTACAACAAATTGACATTATGTATAAAATTTGTATATGTACAGTGTTTATTATTTTATTATGCAAAATAATTTATGCCTTTTTCATTGTTCTTCATTAAAAACCAGTGTCCCCAGATTTTTCATTCAGAAAATGTACAAACTAAGGAGAGAACATTATTTTTTTATTTTTATGTAGATGAAGAAAACTAGAGGGCAGTCATCCGTACCTCTCACAGCTCTGGTAGTCACCATTCTTCACAACAGCCTTAGTTCTCTGCAAGGAACCACTCGTCCTGATGCTGTTGACGCCCGGGCCCAAGCCACTAAGTGAGTTATTTTGTCAACCATGCCAGTGTGTATGAGTGGAGAAAGGGAACATTCCCTAGACATGACAGCTAGAAAATTTATGAATCAGATATGCTATAGTACATCAAAGGATAACTTTTTCCCTTCCATACCTTGAAACCAATTGATTCATAATTATCAATATTTCTTGAGGATTTTGAATTGTGTGATCTATTGCAGGTTCCTTGAGATCAACCTTTCTACCCTTGATGACTGCTATCATGTTGCTCTAAGTGCCTATGCCCTTTCAATTATTGGTAGTCATTCGGCAGAAACAGCTGCAACCATGCTGAATAAAATGAAGAGGATTAAAGGTGTGTGTAACATTGAAATAGAGTGCCAGGCCTTACTGATGCAGTGTACTGGATACAGGTTTGACATTTTTTTTTTTTTTTTTGGAACTGGCTGTTTGCCAAATTGATCAAATCAGCATACATGTGGAGCCAGTTAAAATTATTCCTGGATCATATTCTATTTATGTGATGAAAATAAAACTAATCTTAGTCACTCTGTAAATGTGTAGTTGCTGTTGTTTACTTAGTTTCTTGAATGATTTACAGTATACAGAGTATAAGCCAGGTACATTGATACCATTGATTCCCAGCTTCATCAATTCCTTTTTGTGTATTTTACAGTGGCCTCGCAAATTTCGCGATTGTATTGTTCTGGGGACCCCGCGTGGAACTACTGAGTCATGGAACTCGTGATATATGTTTACATGTTATAGGTACTTGTTCATTCTGATGCTCGTGCTAAAGTCCCCCTTTTTATGCCCTTTCAGCCCTTGCACTCCTCCAATATCAACCAGAAAACAATGCTCTCATGTGACTTAGAAATATAAAATATATAATATAAAACTATAAAAATAAGAAAAATAGTGAGTGGAAAGGAATTATGTGTAGGGTAGGGAAGTACAGTAGGTAGGTATGGCGGTTGAGGGTGGAATGACTCGGCTAAAATTCCCTTTCTCAGAGACTTTCATCAGCCCAACCCCATTAAAACAACACTTGTAATTTCACCATAATTCCCACATTATTTAAGTTAATTTAGTGCTGGGTTAATAAAAAATTATGGTAAATAATCAATTCTCACCAAAACAACAAAATCCACACTCAATGCAGATGAGTTATTGTGTCATGTTAAGTCCCTCGTGATACGTTTACAAAGACAAACAACTGACCGGCCAGCCAAGGGAAGGAGCTGTTTATGTAAACTATATTTTATTCAGTAAACCCTTGTTATTCATGGGGGTTAAGTTCCAATGAATGGCGCAAATAGGCAAAACCACGAATAGCAACTTATACTACCTGAGTGCACTACAGTATACCTATACCAAACAACCGACCAGCCACAGCAGCACTTCTCCCCTCTTTTAACTTATCTAATAATTCAACTTTCTTTGTTAGGGTCATCACTGACTTCTGCCTTTTACATTTCACTCCACTAGCATCACTAGCACTGACACTAGGCTAGGCAGTCATTTAGGGGCCATTTCACACAGAAACACTAAAGTTTTGAGAGTACAACACGAGATGCTGAGTCACAGGCAATGGTTGAGCACAAAGAGAGGAGACGCTGCAGGTGCGTGGGGTGACTCATTGCACTGCAGAAAAAGGCTCACAAGCTAACCACCATATCTACCATCTCTTTACCGTGACTTGTCGAAATCGTGAATCACAAACCCGCGAATGGCAAGGGTTTACTGTATGACAAAAAAAAAAAACAGTAATGTATCACACAGTAATGTTTAGCTTATAATTTAAACAAGGTCTAGACACAAAAACTCATAGATACAAAGTACAAAACACATTTTATTACTATACAGGGAGTGTGAAACTCGGAAAGAAGGTGTGCCGATGTCGCGAGGTGGAGAATTTAGGGGTCCGTGTGAAACTCTTGAATCGCTGAACTCGAGCTGCATGAAACTTTCGAGGCCACTGTAATTAAACAGTAAACAAAAATTTGGGGGCTCTGTACTAAGAAATGTATTATCTGCAGTTGTATTAGGAAAAATTGTCAGAGGAATGTTAAAGTTTTAAATTGTTATTCTTAAAGGCATTGTTTGGTGACAGTGTGCCGATTGTCTTTAACTGATAGTTTCGCTGAAATTCTTACATGCATGAAAAAATATTCATTAACTACGTACAGTGGGGTATGCTATAACGAATCTAATTGGTTCTAGAACCTTGTTCGTTATAGCATTCGTTCGTTATAGGATTAATCCGTTCCAGGCCCCCAAATACAACCACTTAACACTGAAAAATATAATATAAAATTGTAAAAAAGTGCATAAATATGCATCTAAACCCCTGAAATAAAGAATATCATTAATATTTGTAATAAAAAACAACAAATTAGAAAAAAAAAAAAAATTTAAATAATGTTCGTTGTAGGAGTTTCGTTCGTTATAGCATTCTCAATTTTATAGGTAAAACCGTTCGTTATAGGAATATTCGTAGTAGGATCCGTTCGTTATAGCATACCCCACTGTATTATGAAATAGCAAAGGGCAGCTCAGAATTTTCATTCAGTAACTTCTATAATATATTTTAAGGAAATATGAATACAGTAATAGAAATTACAAGGTTAAATTCTGTTGTCTGATTCACAGGAGACATGACATATTGGTCCCGTACACCGATTACAATACATAGAAGACAAGAAGAAAATAACCAGAAATCCTTTCTCCTCCCACGGGAACTTGAGCAGTGGGACTCCCACGCCATAGAAACGACAAGCTATGCTCTTCTGGTTTTTCTGATCAAGGAGGGTGTAACAATACACACAGAGCAGATTATGAGATGGCTTAATTCTGTTAGGGATTGGGATTGTGCCTTCATGTCCACTGTGGTAAGTTTTTTTATTACACTTTATCTGATAGTTCAAAGATGTGTTATTTTTGGCTTTTGTCATTAAGTCAGGCAGCTTTTACAGGACTGCTTACTCAGGGGTTTTATGTCCTCTGACAAACTCCCTATAATATGAAGTTTGGGTTGATCTTTTACTCCATTTTAAATATATATACCAACACCTAAGAATGAAAGTTATAACAAAGAACTGACTGTCCTCTGAAATGGCTAGTAGGCGAATAGGTGTTTAAAAAAAAAACACCCCTCTAGTCCAATCATACCATCAATCTCCTATAAGTGAGATTTGGTTGAACAGTTGTTCCTAGAAGCTGGAAGCATTATTAGAGCTATGTCTGCCCAGTCAATGCAGAAGACCTTAAGGCTACTGTCACTATTTTTTATTCCAAGCAAGTCCACAGTTTTTAATCCAGTACTTATTTTGGGTTAAAATTACTAGAGAATTCCCAGTCTAGTCTTATAACATTAAGAGCAGGATTCTTTTGGACAACTCGTTATGTGCTATCATATAACCACTATAGCATTATGGTTGTAGAACTGCCTGGTAATTTAATGTACAGTAGTTCTGTACAGTATTCTACATTATTTAGATTGATGATTTATTGAATCTAAGCACATCTTGCAATGCAGCGCATAAAAATACTGGAATGATTGTTTGCCATCTTGATGTGGCAGGTTTCTTTGTGAATAGGAGTCCTTGGCCATGCAGCTAGAAAACATTCCCCCTTCCATGGGTCTTTGATCAGCCAGCTGAAACTGAATATGAGAATGGCATTTAGCTTGGAATCAGAGTTGACAGACAGTAGGTTTCACATATTATTGTGTGCTGGTGGGGCAGACATACCATAGCTACATTAAGATTTACAGCTTTTATAGCAACTGTAGCATCAGATATCCACCAATAAGGCATAAGTTGGAAGGGTGATTGATATGATATGTATTGAAAATAGTTTAACAGATAAATCCTGGCTGATTTTATAGGTGGGTGGGGAGTGTCTGAGGACAAGGAACCCCCCCAGTAAGTAACACAGTTGTACAAATGCAGCCTGTCTCAGAATCAATGTACAATACTATTTTTTCATGTAAATAACTTATAAGTAAAGAACAGCAACCCCCTCTTAAAAATAAAATTGCACAGATATTCACTTTAGGGAGCAAACATTGTAAATCTGAATGTGTTATGGTATTCCTGCTAATAATCCTCAAACCATGCCCCCCTTGATAACTAAATCTCCGTTGAACCAATGAAATTGTTCTGTGTTAAAAATGTTTCTTTACCAATCACCTTTCATCTTTTCAAATACCCTATGCTGTACAATAATGCCCATGAAGTATAAATAATTGTAATTTTACCTGAGAATGCTCATCAGCAATGTGAAAATGGTAAGTTGGAAATTTTAAATATACTGTACAATTTATCAAATATACAGGTATCCCTTGTTTAGCGTTAATTCCCTTAATGTTAATTTGGTTTAGTCATAAGTTTTTTAACACCCTATCTCACTTTAATGTAGTCTAAATTTGGTTTAGTGATAGCTTGACTCACTGGGAAAGGGGGGATGAAGATGCCTGTAATATGTAATGAAACTATAAAGGTTGTGAAAAAGCATTACAATACGTACTCTAATGTGGCTAAGAAATATAATCTATAACTGCAAAATAAGAAAAATTAAGTTTGTGTATGTTTGGGAAATGAACTAATGTGTGGAGGCAGTGGGCTGCTGTAACCAAGTCACGCCCAGCCCGCACTGTGCTCCCTCCCCCGATGTGACGTTACAGCAAACAGCCACCCCTTTCTGTTAAATAAAAATTTCCGCAAAATTAAAATTTTCATTATTTTTGCTCGATTTAGCAACTACCGGTAGTTCACTAAAACGAGTGTGATTCCGTTAAATTCCACGCCAAATGTACCGCTTGGCATGCAGAGTTTGTTTACATCCGCTCTGTCTTTGTCTTGCCACCACCATGTGTGTTGTTCACTGCTACCTCTCGTTTTACATCTCGGTCAACTAACTACTGTGCTTAGACATCATGCCGAAAGTCTCCCAAAAGTCTCAGAAAGGAAGTCATGTGGGGGAGAAAGTCAAAAGAGTGCAGCTATCAATTGGAAAAAAGTTTGGAAATTATAGAAAAGTTTTAAAACAAACATCGAACCCCCTAGTTTAAGGTAAGCCATAAATAATGTTTCTATGTCCATATCATGAGTCTGAAAAATAACTGAAAAAAATCCTTCTGCTAAATTGAAAGTTCGCTATATCAGATTCCATTAAATCGAGAGTATACTGTACTGTACTCAGTGTTTACCGCCCTGCCGTTTGAAACTGTTTTTCACCCTCCGTGCTTTGTTGTTATCCCTTGTTTATCGATAATTTTGCTTAACGTTAGGTTTATCAGGAACGCAACCCCATCGTTAAGTGAAGGATATCTGTACATCAATCCCTTTGTAAGCATCAAACTTATAAACATTTACAATTTCAGCCTTAACAAATCCATTAACTTTATTTTCAGGACACAGTTGTGGCAATGCAAGCCTTAGCAGAATATGCATTTCGGGCACGACTTCGTGATATAACAAATATGGAGTTCATTTTAGATATCACTGCTCAGCCCAGGCAACCTTACAGTGTTTTTATTAATAATAGTTCCACATCAACTTATCACAACTTTGAGGTAATTTATACTGTATTCTGTAGATATATTTTGATACAGCACTAGAATACAGTGTGCTTGTAAATCATATATATGTGGGTATTGTCACTGGCAAAATATTGTATGTAGATGCATGTTATGTTGTTTATACATATTGTACTTTGTTATAATGTCATATGTGTAGAATATGTAAAAGTAATAAGTCACAAGTTTCAAGAATACAGTATACTGTATAATAATACTAATGACCTTATGTGTGTATCTCCTCAGCTGGAGAATGTATGGGGTCATGTCAACATGATAGCAAAAGGGTCTGGTCAAGCAATAGCTCAGCTGGATGTGTCATGGGGGGTAGATGTCTTGAACTTCATTGAGCAGCCACACAAGAAATATTTTGAACTTAGTGTCTTGGAAATATATCACCAGTTTCGAAATAAGTCTCTTATTACTACAACTGTGTGTGCCAGGTAAGTTCTGCATGGGATATTAAGTAGTAGTTCATTGTCGGTCACAGATAAACCTCATTTGAAATGGGTTAATTTTAGGCTAAGCCATATTGTTCTGTACCGTATAGGTATGGTTTGGGTTGCTTTGAGACAAGTGTTTTAAAACTTAATATCTTTCAACTGATTTTAATACATCACTTATAGGTAACACTCAGTTGCTACTTTAACACTTGTTACTTGTAAGAGGGTCCCCAATTTACGAACTAACACCGATGCAAACGAGTATTTTATTTACACAGTCTTATTTTTTGCTTTCATCTACAGTATTTTGTCATTCTATTTCTTCTTTTTTCTTAAATTAAGTGATTATAGATGTATATAAGGACTTAGGCTATTATGTAGTGGGATTTTAAACATTGTTCTATAAGTACGGTATGCACATAACATGTGTTCCAACTTACGTACATTTCCGACTAAAGAATGTCCTCAGGAACGGAACCCGTTCGTAACCCAGGGACCCCCTGTATTTTACAATTCTTTGATGACTCGTATGTCTAATGTCTTCATCAGTTTTGGAGTCCTCTTGAAATACATGTATCCTCGATAATCACTGGGTTAGGTAGGTTCCAGAAAACTACCGTGATAAGAAAACTGTATACTGTATATCGAAACACCTAACATTTGGGAAAAATTAGTTTCAACCACGACCCCAAAGACACATCCCCAAACTGACCAAAATATACCCCCCAAAATTTGTAGGTACACTAAAGGATATAATACTAGTAACATATCTTTACTAATTAATGAATAACAAATAAACAATGTACAATATTGTGTCATGAATGACAGTCATAGTAGAATGAGTGAAAGGCAGAGTGTTGGTGAGATGCAGTGGGTAGGAGGGAGGGAGGAATGTGTGAAGTGGGTGGGAGGCAGTGGATATTGTGTTGATTTGCTCAAGATAAAGCAGAGAGAGGGAGAGGTTGTGGTAAGTGGTTAGATGATACATCAATCGGTTTGTTTATTAACACTGGCTGCAGCCCTGCCAGACACAACTGAACAGCTGATGTCTACCCACAAAATTGAGTGCAAGTATAAATGAACAACGTCATATTCCTTCCACATTATGTTACATAAATTTTAAATTATGGAGTGAGAAAGCAGAAAGATGGGGGTGATTAGAGAGGTGGAGAGGAAGGAAGTGGTAACACACAGTGGGTGTGTTGCCAAGCACATGCTTATCCTTGTCGGGAAAATTCAACCAGAGAATACACACATTTTCGGTGCTTAGTTAGATCAGGAACCTTAATACTCTTCTTGTTCATAGGTACCAGGGTGGAGGGTAAGTAAAAGTTACAAATATTGCTCCAAAAACAAGCACGGAGCTGGAAACTGTCTTCAAACACCAACCAAAACAGAGCAAAGGAGCAAATGCTATCGCTGGAACCTGGTGCCATGAGCTGTTCTGCCATCTCTTGGCAGTCGTTGCTACCGTTGGTTCTCGCCAACCCACCGCTGTCCCATGATAATTCCACGACAGCCCAGATCAATTGGTAATAAGCGTACTCATGGCCGCAATTGAGGATACCGTGATGAGTCAGATCATATATTATCGGGTCCCGTGATTATTGAGGATACATGTCTGTGGTCTTGTCTTCCTGTGGCTAGGTAGGATGTAACAGTCACAGCCTGTGAATAATTTATTTGCACCAGACAGATCTCTTTCCCATAGAAGCATTACTTTTAGAATATTTCCAGAAATTGCAAATTGTTATTCAGCTGTGCAGATATAAAATACACCACATTATTGAATAATTCAATCTTTGCAGGTGGATGGCAACAGAAGATGGGATCATGAGCAGTGCAGCTTTAATTGAAGTGGAAATACCCACAGGTTATATGTTTTTCCAGCCTTTAGCTGACCTTACAGTCTCATCAATTAAAGCGAATGGCAGCTTTCCTCAACTCCGGAATGTACATACCACACACACTCATGTCTTCTGGCAATTTGATTATGTAAGTTTGAGAAATTGCCATAACTATATAGCAATATTATGCACCACTTGCATTGAAAACAATATGAATTTACTTTTTTTCCCCTTGTTTATAATTGCTATTTTGAATCTACAATTGTATTTATGTCCATCACATCACTACCCTGTGTATGTCTTGGCACTAATCATTAATCAACACTAATTACACTGTACTCAAATTTTACAGTTTTGAACCCAGTCGTAATGCTCTGGGTTCTGGTGTTTAATTAATAATAATCTGGGATGTCGTGATTTATATAGGCATGGAAGCATTCTTATTTGAAGATACTGTACATACTTGTTGACCTTTCAAAGTTTGTGGAATACATGTATTTAGTTGCAATCAATGTCAAAATTTATATTTATTTTAATTTTTGCCATGGTTCATGTCATCTTCATGTGACTTGTGTACAGTCAACAAGTTAATAGTGTAGCAATCAGGATTCCCAGGACCCCTTACATATAAACAAATTAAATTGTAGATAAATGGTCTACCTTTCCCAACTCTGTAAAAAAAAAAAAAGTCAGTATTTAGTGCTGTGATTCTTTGCTACATTTCAGCCTTAAAACACCAATTCCATTCTCCGAAAAATACTGTCTGCAAGATCAAGGGCAGGTGGTTAAGAGACTTGGTGGAAGGGGAATCATTCATGGGGGGCATTATGTACAGGGTTGTCCAAAAGTCCCTCTCTATTTTATTGAAAATAAAAGATCAATCAGGATGAAACTATAATTTTATAATCAAATATATACTTAATATTCAGCTTAGGTCTAAGATTCAACATGAGCATCACCTGGCAATTTTTCCCTTTGCAGAAGCTTTGCTAACATGATCACTTTATCTTGATGTGATCCATCTTGGTTCTAGAGCCTCATCGTAATTCTGAAAACATTCTCAACACTCCTGTCCTTCAATAAGATGAGCTCATTGTCACTATGGCACCCTACAAAACTGAAGGAGTTGTCTTAAAGGATGTTTGCTCATACAAACACTTTGTCCCCTAGATTCCATCAGACAAGAAACAGTGCTTCAGCTATGACATACAACGGTGGTATCCTGCAGCCAATCTCACATCTATACGATCTGCTACAGTCATGGAGCTCTTTGCTCCTGGTAAGTTATTTACAGTACGTTAATTTTATTTACAAATAAGGAACAGTAGTTATTTTCAAAAAGTGAATACAGTATACAATATATATATGCTGAAATTTTTTAACATATAGATTCACACCAATAATAACAGCAGTTTAACCCCTTCCCATCAAAATTTTAAAAACTAAAAAAGAAATCATAAATGATATGTTTCTTTAAATTTGCATCAGTGATAAGCTGAAATGAGTTATAAGCCATTGAACTTTAGAATACATAAAGAATTTATTGGTAACCTATTTTATTGGGCACTTAAATAAAAAGCTCTCTTTAAACATATGCACTTTTGTAGTATATTTTTGTAGCAGAATTTGTACTTATTCTATTTGTAGGCTAATGTAACCAGACCTATTCATCTGTTATATACAAGTTGCTCTCATTTATACCAGAGGTTGTGTTTCTAGTAAAGGACAGTATAAGTGAAACTAGGTTTTCTTGGTAAAGGGGGTTACTTTCCTAACCACAGCCATAGTCCTGCTTTTTGTTTTTAACAATAATTCTTAATGGCAGTTTATTAAAAAAATATTGGATATATTTTATGGGATGAAAATTATAAATGGGTACAGTATAGTATACTCAACAATACATTTTGTTGCTTCCCCTTAAGCACCTGAGATAATGTCCACATTAAATTATGCATTGTAAATGTTATCACTCCCTGATCTGTTGGATGAATTAAGGAAGTGGTGTTGGAAGGCATAAACTTAACTCAAATATTGGGATTAGCATAAGGGCAACAGTGCCCCACCTTCACACAAAAGCATGTGTAAACCAATCTTCAAGATTTTGTGCGGTTCATCTTTGTCAGACTATCACCACCATTTTCCATGTTTGTTTAGGATGCCCATGATTACATGATAGCAGTTCTCCACACTGAATGGAAACTTACAGCCTCTTTCAACAGAGTCTTATCTCTTTCAACCTGTGCTATTATTGGCTTCCCAATGAACAGATAGTGTATGGTGACTAAGATCCTTTAAAGCCTGGAGATTATAGAAATGTTTCATGAGTTATGACTTTCAATCTGGTAGCATCCTTGCACATGAGATATTTTGTATTGATGCATTTTGGACAGGGGAAATGAAATGCACATTGTGCTGCTGCACATGTTTAAACTTAAGCTCAGTTGTAAAAAGTAAACCCCATATGTGTGAATCTAGTTCCTGTGAAGCTGGTATAAATGTGGGCACCCGGAATGTTCCATTTTAAGGGAATTATTTTATACATTAATGATTTAATTATCAACTATGTTTTTCTCCCAACAGAGCACTTTGAGATGGTAATGATTGATGCATCACCACTGGCAAAACTTGATATCTGTGAAGTGTGTGGGTCATATCAGTGCCCTTATTGTCCCATCTACAGTGCTGTCCAGTCTACACACACAGTGGAGTTAACTAGTCAATTTGCTATTTTGAGTCTTTGGCTCCTCCTCCTACTATTTGGAAATGAGCAAATAACAAGAACACCTTAGTGTTAAGTGCACAAATTAAGTATGAAAACCAGTATTGTTAAAAAAAAATTATTGAAACTGATTCATTCAGGACATAACTATGATTTTCATTATCTTTCACACATTTTGACATTATTTTTGCTGATCACACCATGTGTCACTTGTAATGTAATATGAATTTTTATCTATTTTTTTAGGAGTTTTCCTTCTCGTTAAGATCATTGAGTTTCATTCCTAAAAAAGCACTTCATATACGGTATTTTATATATTTAAATGTACTGTAACTCCATGTCAGTCGATGCTAATTTTGCGAATCCAGATACACATACCCAAGTGTTATCCTGTACTGTAAAACATTCTCGTTTTGTATATGTCAGTGTGAGAATTTTTCTTTAAATATGTCACTTCATTGTGGTAAGTCAGAACTTTTAGTCATTATTTTATATGCATTTTATAGTATGGTTTATTCATGCTAATAATTTTTATTTTAATGCCAAAAATGAGTATTATATAAGTGTTGTTTTATATTGTATATATGAATAAGTTGACCTTATCCTCATTGTTATCATCATAGTCATCATCATCATCATTAACATTTTATGGCCATTTTCCACACTCGGGTGGGTTAGTACAATTTATATTTGAAGTATTATGCACAGTGCTTTTTTATTTATAATAATGAGCTGATGTGTCGGGTAACATAGTAAACCCTGGGGATAAGAATTAGGTAAAATATAATGAATTTTAGAAGTTATATAAAGGTCCCTAAGAAGTTTGACTATTGACAAGAAAATGCTCATTCAGGTTATACAGTACTGTATATAATAATCATAACATACAATTTAGAATGTTTGAGAGATAGAATTGACAATATTATTAAAACTGAGATATTCTCACTCATGTATTAGAACCTTTTATGCCCCAAATTCAACCTCTCTCTCTAATGGGTAGTGCTTTGAAATTCTTATTTATAACTAACAACCGTAGTTAAGTTTTATTTTAATTTATAATGCAAAATTTTCAGCTGCTCTTTCAGCACAGCATTATTTTGAGAACTGTATTACCTGTATGTGTAATATTGACAGCCACTTACATTGCATGGTATTGTCAGTAAACTATGTACCTGCCTCAAGAATTCAGATAGTACCCTGAACAAGGCAAGCTTTTTGGGGATATTCTGGCAATTGGTCTACTTTATTAGGTTACTTAACCATCTCCTGTATTCATAGAATGGGATTTCATACTTCAGTGCTCTTTCTTGTGGTAATTCATTTTAATATTTTATAAGAAATCTTCATAATTTCATTACTGAAGCTGGTTCAATAAATGGAACCTGTTAAGATCTAAATTGGGATGTTTAAGAAAAATCAATAAATAAAATTAAATAATAATTGTACCACTACTGTGCCGGAGTGAAAAAATAATTTACTGCTTCTGTGATAAGTTATAATTAGCTTATTACAGTGTATTGCATTTAAGAGAAATATTATTAGAATACTATTCTAATTTCATAGAAAATTATGTCCACTATACTTTACAAATTACAGTATGGGTATCCTGCTAATACAGGTATTGTCTTATTAATGTAAATTTTACTTTTACAAGTTATCTTTTAAATAGTGTAAGGTACACAGTGTTCCTACTTTAAGGGGAATGAGCAGTACTAGTCAGCAATAATAGTTTTGTAGTGAGCATTTATTGCTAGTGCTTGTAACTGAACATGTTGTAGAGAGCATACTATATTGCTAGTGTTGCACTGAACATGTTCTGTTGAAGTAAGCATGTAGTGTTGTAGCAAACATAATACAGTAATAGTATTGCTATTGGGGTAAACATGTATTACTATTGTTGTAGTAAACAAGTACTAGTGTTGTAGTTAATATGTAGTACTACTGTACTGTATATACTGTTATATTTACCATGTACAGATAGTAGTAGTATTGAAAATGTAGTGTATAATGTTATAGTGTAAATGTAGTGGTAGTGAAGAGGTAATACCAATTGTGTTGTGGATATGTAGTGCTTGTGTTGTAATGAATGTGTTATACAGTAAAAACCTAATGGATTGTGAGTTTTGGCTTCATGATTTGCTGCATTGTGAGCAAGAGTGTAGTGTTACACAACAACAAGAGCACCAATTAACAGTTAACATTTTATACTGAGAGCATGAGTGCCACTGAACAGCTGTTACAAGCTTGGCCTTCAGGAACTGATTAGGGTGTGTCTTTGCATTGTTCCAGTTACTTGTCTAATATTTTGGGCTAAAATATTAATAGTGAGTGATCAAAATGATACTTTAAGATAATTAAAAGGTGCATTAGCTCTTAAAGAGATATTTACACACATCAGAAGATTGGGCTCTGCCATTCCCAGTAAAAGGCTCTGTATCAATGAATAAGCTTTAACAGTTCTGGCAAGGTGGTGTGCTGCTAAAACTGTGATTGGCAAGAGCTGAATCTAATGCCAAATAAGGTGTTAAGGAAATTGATCCTTGAGAGACGTAATAAACAAACGGTAAGCTCAAACGTGTTGATATCTCAGTTGGATTGGACTGATCTTCACCCAATTTGAGGATGGCTAACCCTAGGGCCACCTAGGCATGAATTTGTTCAAAGTGAGTGTAGACGTTGTCGCCAACACAATAACCACACCCTATGTTACTGAGCTGTATGACCTAGTGTTAAGGAATAAGCCAAGACTGGACAACTTGCCAACTGCACTGAGTAACAGGGTTGGAACATTTACACCTTTTTAAATCAATTACAATTACAATTTGAAAATCAAAAGTTCAATTATAATTACAAGTTTCTACATGCTAGCTCACCCTTTGAGAAGAAAACCGTCATGCTGTCTAGTTATAAGGGCTAAATCCATATTGATGAATATGTTTCACTTAAAGCTATTGTGAAAAAAGCAGACATAGGCTATCAAGATTCCAGTGCAGTCCATGCATACTACAAGTTACACATAATATTTACAAAGCTGGGAGTTTTTCAAATAATTCATCATTACACTTTATCATTAACAATGAACAGAAAGAAGCGACACCAAGTTGGGCCCTGTTGACTGAAATAATTTCCAGCAATGCTAAAAACACTCTGATGGAGCAGATATTGCATTACACCCCTTAAGCTCCCTTGCCAGGTTCTTCAGTGGGTGAAAAGTTCGGGACGCTTCTTTCCAGTAGAGCATTGAATTACTTGAAAATGGGATATTTCCTTCTACTACAATTGTTTCAAGAACAGACTCACTGTACTTCCCTCCGATGCTCGTTGATTTTGTGGCCGAGTTGGGAATGGTGGTACGAAGGAGAAAGGTCTGGGTCTTTTTGATTCGGGTAATCCTTCTGCTAGATCATTTTTGTCATTTTCTTCCTCTGTTGACCCCTCCTGAACTGCCTCCAATTCTTCCAACATTTCCTTGATATCAATCAGTACCTGGTCCTTCTGCTCCTGTGACGACAGCCAGTCCATTTTGAACCAAGGATCCAGAAAAGCTGCTGTTCGAACATCCCTCATTTCTATGCATGGGTCCAACCTTTTCTTCACAGAGTCCAGCAGGCCTCTAGCCAAAGGTTCACAGTACTGCAATTGGCTGTTGCTGGAAGACCCAGATGTAAGTAAGTGCTCCAGTGAATGTTTAAGTCCCTGAATCACTGGTCTAATGGCAGATATGGTTACCTTCTGCCCCTCCACAACTTCCATGGCCTCTTGAAAAGGTTCAAGGACACTGACAAGCTCCTTCAAGGCAGAAATCTCCATTGGTGTCAATATTTTTTTCCTTCTTCTCTCTTTCGGAGAGAAGATCAACTGCAGTATTTACCTCGACAGGATTCTTGGGTAAAGATTTCACCATTTTCAATTGTGAATTACACCGCATCACATTTTGTGTCTGGAGAACAATCCTTTAGTTCGAAGGTATGGAGCAACTACTGTTGACTTTCGAATTGAGTTGACCAAGGATGCAACTTTCTGAAGTGTTGATGAAAGAAGTGAAGTTTTAACATCTGGGTGAGTAAACCCATCCTTCACACTCAGTTGCTGAGTGTGTGCAAAGCAACTCATTCTTTGAGGGAGGAATGACAACATTTTCCAAGCTAATAACTTCTTCAAGGATGTTGGGGTCACCTCCTGAATCTTCATCCTTTGTTTGTTCCTGATCCATGTAGAAACTTGGCAGGGACGCGTCAAAAGCTTTCACCATGGAAGATGCATTATCTGCAACCACTTTCTTCACTTTTCCTTTAATGCTGAACCAATTAACAATTTCCTCAGGGGGCTGAGTTTACAATTACAGTACAGTACATGATATTTAAATTACAATTAACTGCTAACTTTTTCAATTACATATCCTATTTTCTTGTAATTAATTACATTTCCATTAAATAACAAATACAATTACTCCAACCCTGCAAAATCATTATCCCAGAATATAATCAACAAATTGATTAACTTCTAAGTTCCAAATAAAAAAAAATAAAAATAAAAACTTCCAAGTTCCTCATTACTATTTTGTAAACCGAGGCAGTGGCATAAGAAACTTGCCCATAGTTTCACATATAAAACTGTCACGACCCGGTATGTATCAACTATACAGTACATATTACACTTTCAAGCAAATTTTGAGTTTGTTCTTTTTAATAATTGTGTATCTCATTGATTATATACAACCTTTAAGGGGTGTGGCAGCAAACTGGATTAACCATTCACCTCCTGTCTTAAGGGTCATTGGTGTGATCTCGGATCACCCTCCATTCCAGCTTTACAATTGGGAAAATGAAGGTGATTTAGTGCAGTGCTGGCCATGTGGCCTCATATCAGCTTTATGGGACCCCCCTTTCATTTAATTTATTTACCTAATGGCCACCCATGGGACCATGCTGAGGGTAGGAGGTCAGTAGCATGAGTAGGATCCCTCCTTTGTTCTTGATAGTTTTGTCTGGGACTGTTTTGAAGCCCAGTACCGTTCTCGATTCCACAGCTTGAGCCAGAAGACCATTCCTTAGATTTATCCACTTTCTGTGTAAAGAAGTATTTTCTTATGTTCATTCTGCTTGACAACTTGGTGAACTTTAAGTTACCGTATGTCCCCTAGTCTACTTGGATAATGGAGCTGACATAATACCAGAATCAGTATACTGTAATTGCTCAGTGTTGCCTCTTTTCTTGGTATGCAGGCTTTTCTGGAGGTAGGGTTTCCATGCTTGTACAGTACTATATAATAATATAGAATATGAAACCTTGAAAGGAAAAAAGCCACATTTTTTTAATTTCTCAATCTACAGGTAGAGACCCAACCTGGCATGGTGTATACTGTTTATCTTTGTTTTTAAACATACGTAAATGTTAAATACTGTAAATGCAAGTAACAAGTGCTATATTGTAGTCTCTATCTTGCCGCCAGTTATAAGCCAACACACAAATGTGAATTTGGCTATTTTTACAGATACATATTGAATAGACAATGATTTCATCATTGCTTGGGGTTCTGTGGTCTCTTATACCCAGGTTGTGCAGATTAGCAGTGCCTGGCAGCCAGGATGTGCTCGGACTAGGGACCAGGGAAGTGATTTTTCATGTCAATATGCCCGGCAGACGCTAATATTTTGAGAGCAATTTGTAAGTTACTGTGTGACCCCACCTCACTGTACATGTTTAACCAGGGAGGTTCATCAACGGACTGCTTGTCAGCAGTGTACCAGGATTATTGACCTACTCTTATGTCAGGTGCAGGGAATTTGTCTATTTAGTAAGCCTCCATTTAATCAGCTGGTATCAAGTTATCAACATTTTAAAGGAACCACCAAGCTGAGAGGCTGTAGATGTAAGGTGACAGGAGTTATGACCTCGCATGACAAGTGTTACCATCACTGACACCAGATTATTTGGGGGGGGGGGTGAGAAGGGAGGGAGTGGTAGTTTAGGTAGGTGATCATACTTTGAAGGTTGTGAGGTGCCGTAGCATTAGTTGTGACATCACATGACAAGGGTTAACGCCACTGACACCATTTAGATGGACACAAGTGATTTGTGAGCTGATACACATAATAAATTTAAATATTTAAAAAAAAATAACATTTGTATTTAAATTTTCCCATAAAAAAAATCTGGGTAAGCAAATTTCCTCCACTAATTTGTGAGGGCACGTGAAAAAAATAATCCAGGCAATTAAATTTCAAAAGTCACTTGTCTGTGACAAATAAATGTTCCACAGAGTCCACACAGCCTGCTTATACCTCAAGTAATATTTATGTGCTTGTATAACATTTGTATAGTACGAGTAATTCCTTTTATGGGTTAATTCTGTACAATATGATGAAAGCATGGAAGGAGGGTGATGAGGTTAGTCATGGTGATGACATTCTTCAACTTGACTGCTGTGAAATAACACTTTTCATTATACCTGTGCTTCATGCAATAGAGCTTCAATTGTTTTAAATACATTTCTGTATTGTATGTGCCACCACCATCACTAACTTCATCACCACTAACGACATCTCTATAATCACTAGCTTCATCACCACCAACACTAATATCAACACACCATCATCACCACTAATGTTATCAATACTACCACTGTCTCAAAATGGATGAATGATGGAGACAGCACACATAAAATCATGAGGAAATCTCATCTATTAACTCAGGAGCACATCAATGCATCTCGCTCAGAGGAAACAACCTCGCACATAAATGAGGGTTTACTTAAGGGTGGAGTGGTGAAGTCAGTGGTTTATTGCTTCATTACCAGGGCCCCTCTCTGGTCACCCAGATGTGAATTAGAACAATAAAGTAAAGTGTTGGCCATGCTGTCTATAGGGGCCGCTTTCATTTTTCACTGTGCTGGCAGTCTCCGGGTAACGACCGACTGACTTACGAACACCCGTACTTATGAATGGGATCCAAATACATTCATCGCAAATTTATTTTATTAAAATCTAATTTTTTACATTATTTTCACAATTCTATATTGTTTAACATCACTTTTTTTATAGTATTTACATTATTTGTTTTGTATGGGATATTTTTTTTTTTTTTATTGTATGAGCAGGGATGTGCTTTAACCTAACATAACCTCTGGAATTAACACTGTTCTGACTTAAGAACAAATTTACTTACGATCAAGGATACCAATGTATCCTTGTTGTAAGTTGGGGACTGCCTGTATTTAGAAACAATAAATCACCTCATCAGATTAATGTGGACATGCACAATGATAACTGCTTTTACTGGGTGCAGTAGTGCTTGAGATTTTGATGGAGGTGTAAAGACTCATTGTTGTTTTCTCAGTGCTGTAGCTATTGAATAAATATTCTGTATCATGATTGGCTGCAACACACAGGGTGCAAGAAAAACTTTCAATCCATCAGACTTTTCAACTACAGGGTGCTCTTGTCACAGTAAATGTAGTAAGTATGTAGTGTAGTGCTATTGTCACAGTACGTATTATTGTGCAGGTACTGGTGTTGTAATGAACATGTAATACTAATGTTGTAAATTATGCTACTGTACTAGCATTGTAATGAACATAGTGTTTAATGAATTTTTTCTGTTTTGAGTGGGTTGAATCCATTTAAATGCTGTACATGATGTAAAAAAATCATAAATGTTCATAATGTTTTGAGTACTCTTGATGATCATTGACCTTCTCTGGTTAATGGTTTTCTCGTGTGATGCAGTTAATTTTAGTTCAAGAAATGGTCTTTTCTATTTGAGGCCTTTGGTCAAATTAATGACTATTAAATGGGCCATAATTTTTGCCAGTTAATAACATATGTATAGTACCTGTACTGGATGTTGTTCTCATACCATGGTGCATATACCTTTAAGCAAAAAAGGGTTACTTTTAAGTTCGTCACTATTTCTAGGTTACCTTTATATCATGATGTAAGATTACTGGTAAGTGCCATGAAATATAATTCTCATCAACAGAATGACATATATAATCTGGCCCTTCTATTTTGTTACTGTAGACTAACTTTGTTATGTTGACCAGGTAGTACTATGGTAGAGAGGCTTCTGTTAAAAAATAGCAGTCTTTTAGTCATGAAACAAGCATTTTTATAATATTAACTTACTGCTTAAGAAGGTAGACTCCAAATATAAAGCATTATCCTGAAATCTCAAACACTAGCTTCATATTGCTTTTATCCCCAGGGTTTTAACTGTAAACTGATTTATTTTTCTCTTAAAGTTCCTATCAGTGGTCAAATATACCTGTCGATACCAGAAAGGTGAGCAAACTCATCAGTGAAACCAAATATGTTGTATGCTGTACACAGTTTTGTAGGATATGTTGTACCTGTACTTATGTTTCATTTTTTTTATACAGTGAACTTCAGTTTTCTGGTATCTGTAGATATTTATATGTTTTTGTTGTGAATACTGTATTATAATTTGTTCCCTTTGTGAAAAGCAACTCTATAATCTGGGGAAAAGCAAAGGATTTTGTATTGGACAGTGTGTCATATAGGTTGAGCACAATTAAAAATCTCTCTCTCTTAGGGAATCAAACAATCAATGCAGATGGAGAAATTAACATCAGAGAAAAGTTTGTTTAATTTTATGCACTGAAAGCCACCAATCTGTTGTAACACCTGGGTTTCATTGATTAAATTATTTTACAGTAGATAGGTGTGTCGCATCTGGCCTTGTATTCCATACATGAGTACAGTATTAAACTGACTCTTCTCTCCAGTATTGAATTTCCTGCCTATGAGACACCCTGTACAAACCATCTTGACCAAATGTAAACCACATCACAATGTTACAGCATTTAGTCTAGGAACTGTAGTTATCTTTCCAAAACTTATCTGGACACCACAGTTCTTCAAAAAAAGGACTCCTGAATGATAGAATGTTACCATTCAATGCAAAGCGATCACTGGACCTTGATCATTTGTATTCAGGAAAAGCTAGCTTCTATTTTGTCCAGCCCATAGAACCATTCTGAGATACTTCCCATTTCTCACCATTGTCAAAGTTACTGCTTCCCACAGCCTTTAAAGTTTCTGATGTTGGCAAGTCTCTGTGAAGGCAAACATTTTCAGAGTGAGGGTTATAAACTCTTGGAGCAATCTACCAGAAATTGTTGTGACGGCACCGAGTGTGAGCTCTTTCAAGACAAGACTTGACCAACACTGGAGCAGGTTCAGGTACATTCAGGAGCTAGTGCATGCCCAGTACTTGCCAACAGTGCGTGACACAGACGTGACCGCTCGCCCGGGCTGCTAGCGAGCCAATCTTTTGGTGAAGAGGATAAAAGAAAAGGAAAAGTACAGTAATCAGAGATGTGACCGATCGCCCAAGCGGCTAACGAGCCGATCAGTGGTGAAGAGGATAAAAGTAAAGTAAAAGTAAAGATAAGCCTCGGACACATATCCTTTAAGTGTTACTTGGGCTGGAAATTAGCAGCTTTTATGCAGTCCATATTTCTTACATAAGGCAAATAAAATTCATACCTGGCTGGATAACAGCTGTATACTGTACCAAGATCTTTGTTACTTATATACAGTATGTTATTTGCTAACTTTTTCTCTTTTTAAGCTACCAGCTCTTCTAATGATAATCTGTTGACATACTAAGAATGACCCTCAATACAGGTACTGGAATTTGAAAGTACTTTTAGAAGTGGTATTCCAACAATTTATGCAGTAAAGTACAGTACAGTACTGTATTTAACTGGTGGACTGTATATGAGATTTTTCAAGCCTGCATATGACACCTGCCATTCTTTGTTATAGATTTTATTGCCCAGTGTTAGTGCAGGAGGAAACCTGGTATGTTTGATAGGGTCATATTGGATAACACCCTTCCCACGTGTGTTGGCCTGTCCGGGCCAGGTATCTAACGCATGACATAATGGTGCGAGATATGCACATTACTGCTGTGCTACCACCATTTAACTTTAATTAAGATACTGCTTAAAGTTAGTCATATTTTCAAGCACGCTTGGATGATAAAGCATTTATTGTTCATTGGGAAATCTCAGTGATTATCAGGTACAGGTATCACTAAATTGAAGCTTGTGATCTTTTTGCACAAATTACATAAAATTTTTCTTGACCCTTATGCTTCAGATCATATCCTATAACATGTATCTCTAGAGTTTCGGGTCACATCACATGACACTTTTATCTTTCACAGGCGTATTTGAATAAAAAGGGCGGGCTTGGCTAGAGTATGATGCCAAGTAGGTTTTTATCTTTCACTCTCTCACACATGAGAGCCTCCCAGTCTCTTCTCCCTAGCTTCTCAGCTTTTGGAATGTAGGCATCTCGCCCTTGGACTTGACTCACTTCACCATGTGTTTCTGCAACCCAAAGCACAAGTCTAGTATTGTGATCAATTACTGGAGCAGTAATAATGATTGTTAATATAGTGTAATACTGTAGTAACAAAGTAAAACAAGTGTCATGTACCTCATATCGCCTACAAATTAGTGTACGTATTTACCTCTTTACTTCATAAACATCCTCGACTCTTCCTAGTCCCGGTGTTGCCAACCTGTGGTACAAAGATTTATGACAGACACTTATTTATTTCCTGTTTATATAATACATGGCCAGTTTGTAAGACTAGAATTGCATTTAATTTGTTTTTTCAAATGTTTCCGAATATACCTGCATGGGAGGGGGGGAGGGGACACCGACCATAGCGCGAAGCCCAGGTGTTAACAAGGACTATAATGTTCAGAGTTGGAAAACATTCTCATTTGAAGTTGAACTTTACAAGGAAGTTAGTTTTCATGCATTTTCAGTACTGTATTATGATCCTTATACATGAACTGTACTTCCCACACAGGATCCTCAGGTCAATTGGCTTCTATCAAAATCTTCAGTATGAACAGAATCATCAGTTCAATATTGGGGTTTTCATTCCACAGATTAGATTTCAGGACATTGGATAAAGATTTATCATGAGACTTACATCACTTCCATATTATGTCCAAGTTTTCAACAAACAGAGTCATCAAAAATGGTCCTGAAATCTTAGTTGTAATCAGAGATGAACAAATGGTCTAGATTCCAGCTGCCCCACCCCACCTCACCCCACCTCCCATTCCCTTTGGGTTAAAAATTTAAAGAAGTTAAACTGACAAAGAAATAAATGAATAAAGTGTCTGGTTACATTTCTTTAAAGTAAAGTATGACCTGCAATCAAGCAACTGTGATCGATGTGTTGTGGTTATTGTGGTCAAATTGGTTTATGCAATACAGGATTATTCATGTGCCCCTGGTCATAAAACTGGATACTTCTAGATCATTCTCATTTTTGCAAAGGCTATGAAGAAGTAAAAGGAAATATAATCAATGTTTACACTTACGTATTGTTACATTGTTATGTAAATATACACATTTATTTCAGTGTTGACTTTTATAATCACAACCTTTTAAGTATTCAAACCTTCTTAGCTTCCAAAATATCAACAAGTATGAAAGTATACATGCATTCATGTAAACTTATTCCCCAAGTGTATTACGTCTGGCTAGATATATTATAACGTGTCCACTATTAAAATAATGTTACTTTAGCCTTAAACAGCAGCCATCATCTGTGGAAGTTTCCTGTTCCTTGCATTCCACTTTTGCATATGTGGGGATCCTTAGCTACAGATTAAGAAAGAAGAAGGAAGTTAGAATTTGAAATTGGCTTTTTTACACATAACCTTTAATCTTCCAAACTGTATGCTTGAATTGTATCTTACCGTAAGTGCCTCAATGGTTGCTGATTTACAATGAACCCAGTTGTGAACTGGGTAGTTGAAATCAAATGGGAAGTGAAAGCACTTAGTGCAGTATTGGCTGTGCAGTTTTATTAAGTACCAGAGCTTAGTACAGTGGTCCCTCGGTTAACGAGCACAATCCGTTCCAGCAGGTTGTTCGTTAACCGAAAAACTCGTTAACCGAAACCATTGTTTCAATGGGTTTTTGGGTAATTGGTTCCAGCTCACCGAAAATTGCCTAAATTCAACAAAAAAGGTAGAAAAGTACACTTACTTTGAGGTGTGTATGTAGAAGGCTCCTGGATGATGATGATGATGATGGGAATTAGAATGGGGGTGGAGGAGAAGGGAGAAGAGAAGGCATTGGGGTGGAAGAGAAGTCACCCCATGGCACCATTTCACCCATAAAATTTTAGTTCTCTTGGTGTAATTCAAGATTATTTTCTTTACATCAACACTGCACTGCATTATATATTGTCAATATGTAAAATAAATTTCAAAATGACCAATAATTTGCTTGGAAACACAGAAAAATAGCATTTAGTTGAAGAGAGTCTCAAGCAAGATGTTACCTCCACTGAAAACAGAGAGAGACTAACGCCTGTCTGGTGTATTAACAGGCTGGATGGCACGCCAGAAACTCGTTTCTTTACCTTCAATTATGTTCAATAATTGTTAAAATGACTAAAAAAGTTAATATTAAACTTTAAAATTATTGAATAGTATAAACTTCTTGATATTTACTAAAATAGTAAGGAATTTAAGCCCTAAAACTGATTACTGTATTGGCGGACTAATACTACAACTGGTGGACCACCAAATGCAAGCAAAATCATGTTGAAGTCGGCTCGTAAAAAAACTCGTTAATCGAGGGATTGCTCGTTAACCGAAGTTAAGAATCTTATGGAAGGTAAATCGTTAACTGAAATCTCGTTAACTGAGGCGCTCGTTAACCGAGGGATCACTGTACAGTATTCAGTGTACTGTACTATATGCACACTGCCCCAATGGAATGTCAGGCCCATAGGACCCATACTTATCACTATACCTCTCCATAAAATGTGAAAAGTGAAAGTGGGTCCCACAGGTATGACCGCCTATTAGGGAAAATGTAAGTACAGTACAGTATAGGTACTCCTGACCATGCAGATTCCAAATCTATGGTCGACAATTTGATAGTGGAGTAATTAGTGGTTGTAATGATGCTTGGAAGATTTGAATTACTTTTTTCAATGTTAATTACTGTACTCGCCATTTATGGGAATGATTTTTTTGTGTGTTTTTGTGCTATTCACACAGCATCTTTGTTGACATTCGAGAAGACTTTAACCTACCTCTCGCGTTACTGTTGTTTATGTTGTTTATAAAGTGATATAAAGGGGAATTGAAGCTAATGTTCACAGCATAATTGACTTTTTCAATATTCTTAATTTATTTTATTTGAAAGGTCAATAATTAACACAAATTACTCAAATTTTTAAATTGTTAACCTAGATCCTTAATCTGCTAGGTCCAGAAAACCTGCAATAGCATCCATGTGGCCTTTTGGCGTACTGTTGTGGCAGGTTGTCAAGGTCTCTTATTTGGCCTCACAACGTACGTACATGTAATATATCCAACACTCAGGATTGAGGTAGAATAGAAAGTCACAATGTGTTTCCCGTTATATATATTGTTGCACAGCACAGTGTTAAAGAGATACTAGGTCGGGCGAAGCTTGCTCAGAGTTCCTGTAGGGCAAGGAGCTTTCTGAGGGAGCGTGTGGTGTGGAGCTGTTGAGAGATGTTGCTTGCTGGTGGCGGTAAGTAGAAAGAGAGCGATGACGGCCAGGTGGGGTCTTATATAGTGGGGGTAGGCGTTGCTTGATGGTAGGCCCCCGCTTTGTTCGGCGTCGCTGTTTACCTGACCTTGACCACGAGGGATACGCTGGTAGATTCGCAGGGGGTCGGCCAGTCAGCGACACACGGCGTTTGTAGGGGAGGAATCTACTACAATACTCCCCCTCCCCTCCGGGCGCGACGGGGATGTTAGCCGGGTTGCGTCCCACAAGTGATACATACCGAGCAGTTGTACGTACGACTCGGCCACTGCGGGTGACAACTCCATCTAGTGACACAGAACCTGTGGGGGAATCAGGGGGAGAAGGAGGGTTTTGGATTAGAGGAGGTTGTATAGGCAATGGTTGTTGTGCTTCTATAGCTGCTGGGGCAGCTTCCTCAGGGGCACTGGCTGGGTTGACTGGGTCAGGGGCGACATCAGGAGGAGGGTCCATGACAGGAGCAGGTTCTATGACAGGAGCAGGTTCTATGACGGCAGCAGGGTTCACGACAGGAGGAGGGTCTATGATAGGAGCAGGTTCTACCACGGCAGCAGGGTCCAGGACAGGAGCAGGGGGTACATGAGGGTGAAAAGAGGGTGCCCAGAAATGCCCTGAGCGGGGTGTTGCTGCCGATGGCAACTGCGGGTAGACTGGTGCAGGCGTCATTTGTTGGTGGTGCTGCTGGGTCGGGGGCTTAACGGGTAAGGTGGCCGGCTTGACTCTGTCTATGCTGATGGTCTCGTGTCTGCCATTCCGGATAATCGTCAGGAACTTCGCTGAACGGGTCACAACCTGGAAGGGTCCATCGTAGGGGCGTTGTAGTGGGTTGCGGTGAGCATCATGCCTGACGAAAACATACTCGGCTGTGAGTAGTGCAGGAGGGATGTGTTCAGGGCGCAGAGGAGGCTGGCGTGGAGCAGTAGCTCTGAATGCAGAAACTGCTTGTCGTAGCTTTTGGAGTAAGTCGTGACGGACGGCAGGAGTGGTTTGGTGGAGGTCAGGAGGGAGTGAGAAATCCCCGTGTAGGCGAAGGGGCTCGCCTAGGGTGAGATCTGCTGGGCTACAGTCCATATCCTCCTTGTATGAAGCACGGATGCCGAGGAGCACTAAGGGTAGCGCATCCGTCCAGCTGTAAGGGTCGTGCTGTGCTTTGAGTGCGTCCTTCAACTGCCGGTGAAACCGCTCTACCATGCCGTTGGATTGAGGGTGGTATGCGGTGGTGCGATGCCTAGTTGTGCCGAGGAACTGTAGGAGGCTGTGCCAGAGTTGTGACTCAAACTGGGTTCCTCGGTCGGTGATGATGGTAGCGGGGGGGCCGAAGCGGGAAATCCAGGCGGACATGAAGGCGCGGATGGTAGACTTTGCTGTAGCATTGGGCATGGGAATGGCTTCTGTCTACCTGGTGAAACGGTCGATGCAGGTGAAGATGTAGGTGCTACCGCAGGATGATGGAAGAGGTCCCACTATGTCGAGGTGCACTACTTGGAAACGTCCTTTGGGTATAGGGAAGGTTTCTAAAGGGGCCCGTGTGTGACGATGTAACTTGGAGGACTGACAGGTAAGACACTGGGCAGTAGGGTGTGTCATAGGAGGGAAGATCAGCTAAAACTAATGGCCCATCACTTTTTTGGTAGATTTTAGTGTATATAAACAGAAAATAATTTCAGTTTCAATATTTTGCAACCTTTTGCTAGGTAAATTTTAGCGTGAAATTTATCGAAAATCTAACCTACAGCTGCATTAGTGAATTACAATTAAATTTTGAACATTGCTTTCTGACTTCATTCTTTAACAACCCAACTAACAATATCTTTTTCTGTTTCAGATTCTGATGCATTTATAAGTTGATAATATTTGCGATGGCTGCTTGTGTCAGGACGAGGAACCAAAAATCCAGCCATCTCAGTCACTATCTTGGGTCTGGGAGAGAGCTCCTGAAGTCGGAGTTGCCTACATTGAGAGATGCTTTGAGATACGGTGTTTTAATCAGGCAAATCAGTGAAAAGAACCAAGAACTTACACAAACAAAGACATTGCCAGTGATATGACCAAAGCTGTCTTGGCACAGTACACTCTGGCTAACGCTCAGTTCAAGCCTCCAGTCATAACAAGTCAGAAGAAGATTAGTGAGAGACTGCTAGCCAGTTGGGAAAAGGCAAGAGATATCTCTTGGGAGAGGAAAACTTGCAGTTAAGGACAGCTTTGCCAAGCAACTGGACCAGTTATTTGACATAATTACTTGCAAGTGCCCAATTGTTCTCTGTCCTGAGTTTGGATGCGATCTTGACTGTAAATCCGAGGCCCACATCTCCTGTATTTGCAAGCGTGAACTGAAGATTCCTGTGATCGAACTGGCATTTGTCAAAGCACAGAGAGAGAAGACTGGCAGTATAGGGGCTCTCATGATTTCTAGCCAAGATATTCCGGAGTCCAAGAGACAGGAGGCTGCCACAGAGAGACAGAAGAGGAGAAGAGTTGCCGAGGAAAAGAGACTTGAGAAGGCCCAGGGTGAGGTAAAAAAGGCCGATGATTGGAGTCAAGCTGATTCAGAGTTTAATGACTTCCCCATGGCTGATCCGAGTGCTGACCAGGAGAATGGTGACTTTATCCCTAACCCAGAAAATAATGATCCCAAACCTTCCAGGCATAAGATTCGAAATAGGAAAGATATCCGAGCATAGCTCTGGCCAGCATGCGACACCACACTGGTCTCAGAGAAACTGCAGAGATAGCAACAGCTGCCTGGATTGACGGTGGTTTGATAACACCTGATGATGTTCACCTGGTGATAGATCATAACAAAGTAAGGAGAGCTCAGGAGA